CCCCTCTCTCAGCCAACTGGTCACTCACGCATTTCAAATCTCTCAGGTTGGTAACTATGCTATCATCCTCTTTATAATTATAGGGACGGATTATTAAAAAAAAAACCTCTTAACATAGAGATAAACACAAATAATCTTTCTTCTCTTATATCCCCCTTATAATTAGGGGGAACCGCGTCTTTTAAGAAAATCTCTTTAAAAATAGATGTAGACAAATCTATTCTCTTCCCTTATATCCATTTTCAAAATTAGGGGAAAGCGTCTTCTTAAAATATCTTAAAACAGAGATAAACACAGACCTTTTCTTTTCCCTTACATCCGCCTTCAAATTAGGGAAACGCGTCTTCTTAAAATATCTTACAACAGATATGAACACAAGTCTTATCTCTTCCCTCACATTCTCCCTAAAATTAGGGGAACACGTCTTCTTTTACAATTTCTTAAAACAGAGATGAACACAAATCTTCTCTCTTCCTTTACGTCCTCCTTAAATTAGGGAGACCACGACTTCCTAAAGTATCTTCCAACAGAGATGAACACAAGTCTTCTCTCTTCCCTCACACCCTCCTAAAAATTAGGGAGATGGCGACTTCTTTAAATCTCTTGAAACAGTGATGAACACAAATCTTCTCTATTCCATATCATCCTCTTCATAATTATAGGGACTGAGTCTTCTTTTAAAATCTCTTAACAGATATGAACACATTGTCTTTCTTCTCTTATATCCCCCTTATAATTAGGGGGAACCGCGTATTTAAAAAAATATCTCTTAAAAAAGATACCGTATGAACACAAACCTTCTCTCTTCCTTTACATCCTCCTTAAAATTAGGGGTATGGCAACTTTTTTAAATCTCTTGAAACAGAGATGAACACAAATCTTTTCTCTTCCCTATCATCCTCTTTATAATTGTAGGGACTTGCAAGAGTCTTCTCTTAAAAGCTTAGCATAAAGATGAACACAAATCGTCTTTCTTCTCTTATATCCCCCTTATAATTAGGTGGAACCGCGTCTTTTAAAAAAAAACTCTTAAAACAGAGATGTACAGAAATCTTCTCTCTTCCCTTACATTCTCATTAAAATTAGGGAGACCACGACTTCTTAAAGTATCTTCAAACAGAGATGAACACAAGTCTTCTCTCACACCCTCCTTAAAATTAGGGGGATGACAACTTCTTTAAATCTCTTTAAACAGTGATGAACACAAATCTCTCTCTTTCATATCATCCTCTTTATAATTATAGGGACTGAGTCTTCTTTTAAAATCTCTTAACAGAGATAAATACATTGTCTTTCTTTTCTTATATCTCCCTTATAATTAGAGGGAACCGCGTCTTTAAAAAATATCTCTTAAAAAAGATATGAAAACAAACCGTCTCTCTTCCTTTACATCCTCCTTAAAATTAGGGGTATGGCAACTTCTTTCAATCTCTTGAAACCGAGATGAACACAAATCTTCTCTCTTCCCTATCACATAGTTACCAACTATCTCATTGTGCGGGACGGTCCCGCATTTCAAATATAAAATGTAAGTATTCATAGTTTGGGTGCTCAAATTAAACATAGACCTACTGTACTGTACCTAAATCTTCTTTCTTCCTTTACATTCTCCTTAAAATTAGGGGGACTGCGACAGTTTAGAATCTCTTGAAACAGAGAAGACACACAAATTATCTGTTCCCTTACATTCTCTTTAAAATTAGGGGAACTGTGTCTTTTTTAAATGTCTTAAAGCAGAGATGAACACAAATCTCCTCTCTTTCCTCACATCTTCCTTGAAATTAGCGGGACCGCGACTTCTTTAAATCTATTAAAACAGAAATGAACACAAATCATCCTCATAATGAGGGGTTTCCACGTCGTCTTTTAAAATCCTTAAACATAGAAATAAACTTGTTTCTTTACTTGCATTCTCTTATTCTCTTTGTAATTAGAGAAACTGCTCCTTATAGATGATGCATCTTTTTTGCGATACCTTTTAGAGGTAATTAAGTCAACTATTTTCTGTCAATCATATACCTGGGGGAACGGCATCTTATTTATCTCTTTGAAATTAGGGATGAACGCGAATCTTTTAAATATCTCTTAAAATACAGATGAACCCATGTTTTTGCTCAAAGCATTTTTCGTATAATTGGAGGAAACGCGCCGTTTGGCAACATCTTCTATGGAAACCCCCCCACTCCACCTCCTTTAATAACTTTAAGAGCAGGAACTGCACCGCCTTTGTAACACCTATAAAAAATAAAGGATGAACGGAAGTCTTATCTCTTTCCCTACCACCCTATTTACAACAATTTTTTCTCAATTATCTTCTATTCTTATGTGGGAACTGTGAGTTAGGAACACATCCTCTTTATAATTGAGTGTAAACTGCGTAAAGACAAATGAACAATTTTCCAACCCTTCCTCTGATTTGAAATGGATGCCTAGTTGCTGTATAAGTCTAATTAATTAATACTGTTTTCACACTATTCTTCTTTTCTCATACAGCATTCTAACTTTCCTCTTACTCTATTCTCTATATACTGTATTTCACTCAATATTTTAAAATACTAATTGAATCGATATGCCTCAAATACAGTACAGTAACATCTTTTTACTGTATAAATATGTGTTTAATATTCTTAACATAATGGCATCATGGCACATTTTTAATGTTCACTAAGCATGGGATCTGTCACTCGCATTAGTCTTAGTTTCTAGTATTTTATCTCCTTTTCTAACAATACCTTTCCTTTATCAAAAGTTGAGTCTTCAGATTTAAACCGGTTTAAAAAGAACAAAAGTACACATCCCAATTTTATGAAACCTGCATGAAACTCAATGTAATATCATTTTCAAAAAATTAGAAAATAAAAAAAAAATTTAAAAAAATAATAAAAAAAAAAAAAATTAGTTTAAGAATTCTAGATTCAATATTTAGTTTGGCAGTTTCTATAGATAAGGGTTGATGTATTTGGGTTGACAAGAGAATGGGATACCAGATGTAATATTATGGAAAATAAATATTCATATTGCAAAAGAACAATCAGTGTAGCTGCTTTATTGTGATACTTAAAGTATGTACAAATTGTATAATACCTAATAATAATGAGGATAATTATATGTTGATGATGAGAAGTAAAATGAATATGAATTGTAATTCTACAAAAACAAATTTAACATTTTTCATAATCTCTGTACATATTTTTAAAAAACTATTAAAAATTAACAAAAAACGACAAGCTGATTACTTTCATAATAAATAATATTTTTCCTTCAATCATATGAACTTCAATCATATGAAATTCTTTTATCAAAAGAGGGAACTGATACTATCATGTTGTTATTGACCAGGGGTGAATCCAGTAGGTGGCACATGCCCACCCCGTTTTGCCATTAAATTCTGAAACTGTTGTGCTCCTCAGTTCTGGATCTGCCCCCATTGACAATCATGCAGACAACTTTCATGAAGGCCATTAAAAATAGCCATTACAAATTAGCCATTTCGGAGCAATTACCTAAGTAATATGATTAATTTGAAGTATAAATGGCAAAAAAAAAAAATTCTTTTAAAATATCAATCCCTTGCCTGTACATGACCATATTCTGGGTAGAGTGTGACATTCATATAAGAAAAGGATTGCAGAAGGCAATGTGATTGCCTGTTACAAGGCGTAACAGCCCCATTGTCATAGCTACAAGCAGCTGGGAAATACCTAGTAACTTGAAACTATTGAGCAAGTAATAATATGACATGATCTACCAGAAGGATTTCAATATCATAAGTGATGTGACAACAATTTAAACATCCAAAATTTAGCCCACAAAGAACAATTAAAAGCTTTGGCTGCGTATATTTCATAGTAAAACTTCAGTGCCGAACCATCACACCACTCTACCATATTTTTATACCTCCTTGACCCTACACAATGCAGCTCTGAGTTGTGTCTAAGAAATATGATGTGGTGAGAGATTTTCATGACACCCGTCTATTTGACATAAGGTAAGACAGATATATCTTGTTTAGTGAACCAAAAATGGTGATTTTGAATAAAAATAAAATATAATTTTTGGCCAGTTAGCACATGCTCTGCTAAGAAAAGTGTTTATAATTCATAAAAAAAATTAAATTTTACATCAATTTTTAATACACCCTCCACTCCCCAAAATATACAAAATATGATATATATGATTGAAAAAATTCATCGGTTTTCATTAGGTATTTGAGATATATAATTTCTTCCTTAATTATATAAATTTAAAGAATTTATCAATCCCAATCCTACACTGTTTAAATCATTAATAACATTTTATTTTCATTTTCTCCTCTGCATAGATGGTTTTGGCAAAATCATTTTGCCAAATGAGAAAACTAATTTTTATTTCAATTTTTTTCCCACCCTCCTCTGACAATCTAAAAAAATGTTTGTAGACAAGGTATAAAAAAGGTCGCGCCTAAGATTCTCTGTTACTGCCTCAGGTTTATTAAATCAATGTTTAAGTGTATCCACAGCAGCTAAGCTCAGTCGGCTAATCTGGTGGTAGCCACTGTGTGTGCGCTGAACCGTAGAGACATCTAAGTACCTGGTTCAATTCCCATCGCTGCCTCTCCTTGTGTTTCAGCTGGAGGGCTGAAATACAAGTTACAATAGCACACCGGCTTTCGGATGAGCCGTTTAAGCCGTTGGTCCTGTGTGCATTTTATGGCACTTTAAAGAACACAGTATACTCTTTGGAAAAGAGTAGGGGATTGTCTCCCAGTGTACTGCCCAATCACCACTAGAAGACCCCACTAGAAAGAAGTCTTCTTCTAGATTTTTGTGGGCTATCCTAGGTGTTTACACCATATAATTCCAATCCAATCCAACTGCAGATATATATTTTCCAATCTATATGTTTTACATAAAATCATCCATGAGTGTACTTGACAAGCGATCCTGATGTTTCTTGGTGATGTCAGCATTTACATTCGGTAGATCCAATTGCTGTCGCACTGCCCTCTAGAGAAAATATAATACAGATATTGCAAGTTACCTTTGTTTACTAATGATCAAAATGAATTACAGTAGTGTTGATTAAAATGTCTGTACATCAGTAGAAACAGAATGATTCTAATCTGTACCTCATTTAAAGTGAATGTTATAATTGAATGTTATGAGGGTTTTGCTATGATTTATATATCTTTAAAATAAAGATTACAAACTGAACTTTACTGTACCTCTATTTTATGAACAAAATCAACAGCTAAATTTGCTCACAAGCAATGAACACAAAAGACCAAAGCATTAAAATTACAGTCACTCCATAGAGTGCATACCTCCACCCTGTGCCTGTATACCAAACAATACGCAGGCAGTGTATGAGGGGCGATTCCAATATTTTCTACCCTGTGCCTACATAGGCAGGCTGTGTATGATGGGTACAGTTTTAAACAATTATGGCAAAAGACAAGCCAAACCAGTCACTTGTCGCAAAAATCAATGTTTAGTTATTAATACTGGATTAAAGATGAAAATGGGAGCTATAAAATGATAAAATAATCATTTAAATCTGACATTTCCTTATGAAGTTACAAGTGTTTAAACATACAGCTGTTTAAAGAACATTTGAAGAATCAGCCTTCAAAGTTTACGATTTTTTCCATTTCTCAGGCAGAAACCATCACCAAATTGTTAAAAATTTTTGTTTCAACTGAAACATGATTTGCGACGAGTGACTGGTTTGGCTTGTCTTTGCCACAATTTAAAATAAATATTTCAAACAGAACTTTTTTCTGTACCTCTATTTTGTGAACAAGATCAACATCCCACTTATGCACAATAAAGTTAGTCACATGCCCATTGTCATGGCTACCAACTCTGCCAACTCGACCAACACGGTGGATATAATCTGACATGTGATGAGGAAAGTCAAAATTGATAACATGGCGTACCTGTTAATAAAAAAAAAAACCATAATATTACAATCTTAATTTAATTCACTCATTTTCCAAGATGAATAATTAAAATAATAATAGCCAGACAAACATTGGCAATCCCTTTACAAACATACACACTTGATGCTCTACAGAGAAAAACAATTCTGTTACCATGACAGGAACTGAGCTAAGGACCCTGGGATTGAAAGGCATGCATCTAAACCACTAAACTATTTAACTATTTTAATAAATATCTAAGACATAATCCTCAGAACAGTTAACAAAATAAATATTAGGTGTAATTATAATCACTTTCTCAAGAACCTAATTATAATCACTTTCTCAAGAACCAAATATCAATAGAAAATGATATTTACACTAGCTTTTCTGCCAAATAATTTGAAAGCTAAATTTACTCAAAAGCAATGACCCTCAGAACAGTTAAAAAATAAATATTAGGTGTAATTTTAATCCCTGTCCAAGAACCAAATCTTACATTGAAAATGATGTTCACACTAGCTATTCTGCTGAGTAATTTGAAAATTAAATTTGCTCACAAGCAATGAACACAAAATACCAAAACACCAAAGCATCAAATAAAAAACAAGAGCAGTCTCTCCAGAGTGAATACTTTCACCCTGTGCCTACCAAACAATACCCAGGCAATGTACGTGGGGAGATTTCTTTATTTTCCACCCTGTGCCTATACATCTAACAACAGGCAGACAGTGTATGATGGGTACAGTTCTATTATTTTTTTTTATGCTCAAATTTCTGCAACCTTGAACTTTGAGCTTTTCTTAAAAACCATTCCACTAAATTTTATGATGATCAATTCCTTAGTTTTTGGTTAATCTTGCTAACAGACAGACAGATACACACACACAGAGCAGTGAATACAAAATATAATCTCCTTGGCAGAGGTAACTAGTTAACCTGATGGCACAACAGTGAAGGAAGAATAATATTCGCAACCTGAACAGATGAACTGAAGTCTGTTTTCATTCACTTACATTTATTGTGTCTATTCCACGCGAGGCAATATCTGTTGCGATGAGGATATTACAGGCACCTTCATGAAAGGCGTTTAACATTCCAACACGATACTAATTTCAAGAAGAAATGAAGTCAGATTATAGTTTTGTAATGCAGGTAAATGCAACAATGTGTACATGGAAAAGAATGCATAATTGAGTAAATCAAATATTTGGAAACTACAAGGCAGAACTACTCCTTGTAGTAAATTGGGCAGATGTAAACTGCACTCCCTGTTGTTTTCAGAATAGTTTACAACATATTTTAATGGGTCACGTTGTACATGTGAAAGGTCTCATCCAAAAAACAACAGATTCAACATTAGAAATTTAGTTTTATCATCATTATTTATCATAGTATTATCACCCATATTACATTATATTTTTTCCACTATATTCATGGCATCTACCATACTGTCCATCTAATGTTGTTCCTCACAGGATCTATACAAGAAAAAAAAAGACAGCATCTATGTACCTCTGGTAATAATTTGCCATTGAGTCTAATGACCCTAATGTTATGCTGCTGCAGGAATGCTGACATCCAGTTACAGCTGTCCACTTCATTACAGAAGATGATGGTGCGAATTCCCCTTCTGTCATTTCTCTTGGCCAACTCCAGAATATGAACTATTAGCAAAGAAATTATGGTACAATAAAAATGCAGTATTATAATACAGCTATCTTTCATTAATATTACATAAAAACTACGCATGTAATCCATAATTTGAATTGTATCAAACAGTGGGAAAAGATTGAAATGATATGACATAGTAAAGTTCATTTGTGAGGTTACTTACTGGTAAACTAGGGAGGTACTTATACAAACACTGATTCATTTATTTTCCACATAAAGGCAGGAAATTACATTTGCCCAGTTACCAAATAACAAATCAACAACAATTACAATACTGTATTAAAATTCAAAACTGAAAAATGTAAACTTTTCCATTAATATATAGCCACAAAAAAATACAAAAATTATCAGTAATCAGTATTCGTTTATTGTCATTTGTATACATTTACATTGAAAAAGCAATGCATGGGCCGACTCTGTAATATAACACAGTTTAACTATTCCCCGCATGGTATTTCAATTTCTTGGTTTGGGGGCTTGAATACATTTTAACATTCTTTAATCTAATCTGAGCCTCAATCGAAGTGAGCAACAGGGGCGGATCCAGAGATGTCCGAAAGGGAGGCCAAAAGTGGGGCTGATTGAAAGAAAACAGACCCCCTAGATGCCTGAAAATAAACTCTGAGGCGCACTTATATAGGGACACCATCAGAGTGACAGACCAATCACTAAGTATTTCAGGGCTGTCACATTAATTTAACCTATTGCTACAAGAGCTGTTACAATAGAGGTGGTAATTATGTTTAAAAATGTACATATCTTATGCACTGTACTTCCTGTAAAAATGTCCATACATCTACTATTCTCACTCTACTACTTCTTGTTGAATACGGCAGCTAACACTGTTCAAGTGAAGCAGACTGAGACAATAGCTTATCAGAGGATTCCAAGGGTACCGTTTTAACTCCTGGACTATTCCAATAGATTCCGAGTAGCCCTATCTAGTTACGCTCCTATTGCTCCCCCTACCAGCTCCCTATGCCAATACTCCTAGATACAGCACGGATATTGAAAGTGGATATGATGAGCAAACACGTACCTGATTTATCTTGACTTGGCATCCTGATGAATTTCTGATTCACGTGTGGCATAACACGATGCAACTGTGGAGTTGATATAACTGTTATTGATTTCTCCTGAAAGACGAAAACAAACAATCTATTCAATTGTAGGAGGCATACACCGTAAATACTTGAAAAATAATAATAAAAAAAGATAGAAAACTACATTCAAATTTAGGTCTAAGAGTGATACTTTTGGAAATCTAATTTTTCCATAGACATAAAATGTTGTACTGTGGTCAGAACCAGGTGGTCTAGATCCTTCATCTATAAAAATACCTCCATGGGCCCCTCTATTTCGGATTCCTGGATCCGTCACTGTATACACCACCTCATTTTGTATATCAAACTCAAGACAATGATGAGGTAGCATACTGTTTAACTTTAAACAGACATGAGCAAACATACAACATTATTATAAGATATTTCAGAAGTTAGGCACACACTAACATACACTGTTTGATTCAACAATTGCCTGTTGGGTCTTACAGGCAAAAGTAATAGTGTATGCCAAGACATTAAATAGAAAATTTGTTTGCACATATCTTACATCTGAAATGCAGACACAACCTAGGTAACAATTATTAATAGCTTAAAATTTACATTATAATATTTTTGTATATTCTTTGTAGTTCATAAAAAAAAACCAGATTTTATACTAAAATGGGTATATTGCCTATTTTGTAAAGAATATTTTATACTTCTTTACAAAATAAGCAATATCTACAATCACTGAAGTGTAATTATATTTTATAAAAGCAAAACTGAAGTGTAATTATATTTTATAAAAGAAAAAAAAAAAAAAAAAATGGATATCATGAGAATAGGTAATCTTACATAAATGATTTCACTAAGAATCTCTGCATAATGTTTTGGCATTGTAGCTCCAACCAACACCAACTGGGCTTCAGATGGTGGGTATTTGTGTGACCATTTCCCCAGGCATATCTACAAGCAAAAGTAATGAATCAGAAGAATTATAATAATGGCATGAGGACCTAGCAAGACTTTCCTAGTTACATAACTAGGACTGATGCGTTATATTGCTTTTAATTGATTTTACTTTTAAGCTTTATTTCCAACTTTTAGGTATTGACAGAGGTCAACTTTCAATGAATCTACGTGGATTAACCCTTGTAACTATACTACTGCTATCCTTGGTTCCACTGTTTTTCATGTTTTTTGTTCTGGTATTTTAATGAATCCACATTTTTCTCCTGTTTGAATAAGATTTTATCTCTGTTTTAAAATTTTTCTTGTTCCTGTATAATGACTGCATTTTATCTGTATGTATGTTTTTTGGAACCGAATAAATTCAAATCAAATAAAATCTACTGCAATGTGTAAATAATTTATTTATTTTTTATTTGGTATTTAAGCTTTGCTTTCCCTGGCCATTGGGTCCCCATTCTAAATTGTTGCTGCCATATTGCGCAGTAGCAGGCAACCTCACCGCGGACCCACTTATACACCTGGGTGGAGAGAATCAACGAGGTGAGAGCAGCTTAGCTCAGTCGTATAAACTGGTGGTAGCCACTGTGCGCTTAACTGTGGAGATCTCTTGGTCCCCAGTTCAATTCCCATTACTGCTCTCCTTGTATTTCAGCTGGAAGTTACAATAGCACACCGTCTTTCAGATGAGACGTTTAAGCCATTGGTCCCGTGTGCATTATTATTGAATGCAGTGCCCTCTTTGGAAAAGAGTAGGGAATTGTCTCCCGGTGTACTGCCCAATCACCACCAGAAGGACCCCCACTGGAAATAAGTCTTCCTCAGACTTTCGTGGGTTATCCTTAGTGTTTACACTAAAATAAATCCAATCCAAATCCGATAAAGTGCCTTGCTCAAGGACACAGATGGCATGCACAGCAAGGGATTTTGCGAAACCAAAGTGATTCATCATCAAAGAGCACATACTCACATTAACATCCTTGAAAATTTTGAGGATGTTGTAAGAGAAGCTGCTATCTAACATTGTATCAACCTCATCAATAACAACATGATGAATATGCTTCATTGAAACAAATCCTGCAAAAATTAACCCGTAACAATAGTAATGGTTGCAATTTATAGTTTTAAATAATTTTAAATTCAGTAATTTGATATATTTGCTGTGTACGCAGGAGAACCTGTGTAAACATGTATGCCCGGTAGTACAAGGTAACATTAAACAGTAAAATATCAATAGATCTACCACATGAGCTCTTTAGAAATTATTGAAAACTATAATAGGAACATAAAAGAATTTTTAGACATTGCTGGTTTTTATCAGAAATTGTCAGACAATTTAGCCACACTCACATTTATATTTATTTTAGACTGCCACCACTATGGGACAGAAGAATTGAGGGGTGTACTCTATTAGAATAGTAACCTAAAATACTCTTGAATTTGACCTCACACCATCAGGCTCTTATTGTATAGAATAAGTGATAGTGCCTAGAACATTGGTTATAGGGTCTAAAATTCTGAATTAAGTCATTTCAGCATTGACAGTGAAGCCTGGAACACTCTAGCTATCTATTTTTAAAGTTCATTTGTGATACTTGGGGTAGTTAAATTGTTTAATGTATAAGGTTATAGGTTTTGAAGAAAAACATTATATTTACACTGACCTTCTCGTAAACAGCTAAGTAGTGGTCCAGGGGTGGAGATGATGACATCAACAGGAGTCAGAAATGTGTGCTTCTTGGTTTTCTGATGGAAAAAATAAATCATAGATAAATTAATTATTTTCCATGAAAAATTAATGAAAACTGATACAAATATGAAACGACTGTGATATGTAGTACTTATTGTGGTGCTAAGGAAGTATGATACGCAAAATAAATTAAATTTTACATTTCCAACTTTTATTATTATTTCAACATATACAGAAATAAATTAAAAAACAAAGACAGAAATATTCAAATTATAATTGATATTGGTATTGAAAGAAATTTTAATAATATAGTTCCATCCATTGGTTAAATACCATTGATTTTGATCCTTCAAGATGGCGTATGGTTAATTGTTCATCAGTTGTCAAAAGTCTGGCTACTTGCTGTAAATAAACACAATGTGAAAGTTGGTTACAAAACTGCTTTATGCTCAGTAGTGTAGCTACGGGCAGTGCAAAGCACTGGGGAACAAGACTATTAGGCTATGATTATTGTCAAAAAAAGTGTCAGAAAGTTCAGATATTTAATTTTGGATTTAAATTAAAAAATAATACTGATTACCTCAACTTGAGTGGCTAGCTCTCTAGTTGGTACCAATATCATAGCTCTTGGTTCTTTTGGAAGAACTTGCAAGTCAAATGTCTCTCTCTCCTTAAAGAGCATATTCAAAACTGGAAGCAGGTAAGTCAGTGTCTTTCCACTACCTGTTTCTGCTGCAAATAGCACATTTTTGCCTTCCAGCAAGGAGGGTATTGTAGTGTACTGGAAGAGAAAGTACATTAATAAATAAATTCAACTGGATGGAAAGTACATTCTTTTGCTTTTATTATAGACTGATTAAATGATCCATACACCCATCAATTCACTCACCAACCCCCAACCAAAAGTGATTAAGTTCACTGTTTGGCATAGCCTTGGCACTTAAATAGCTAGAAGAACCATGATAATTTTATTTGACAAAAACATGTGAAATGAGAAAATACAGTCATGATGACATCACATCATGATCATATATAGGCACATCATGACTATATATTGAATACAACAGTTTTTTATCAGTGAAAATTTGATTATCTGTACAGAGCTTTGCCCAGAGGTAACAAAACTAGGAGGTGCACTTGCATGCGTTATTGGAGTGTCGTAGTTCTGTAGGACCGAAAATAACTTTGCGTCTAGACCAAGGTATAGGCATTTTAAATATTTCATTTTGTCTGTAAAACATAGCAGACAATGACTTTGTCTGACAGACATATCTGATCAATCAAACAAATCAGGTGGTGTTTTATATCTGTTACAGCATTTCAACATTTCTTTCAACTTTAGGATAAGGATTTGCTAAACAGCAAACTTAATCACTTTTCTAAGAATATATACTATACATAGATTAAGTCTTAGCTAATGACAGGTATGCTTTCTCGATTAAAGGCTTCTTTTACGAATGGAATGACCTGATCGAAGCACAGACTTCTACAGGAAATTTACTCATGAGACAAACATACACACAAGATGCTCTACATAGACTGTCTCATTATGAGGCTTAGGGAGTAGAGTATTTCGGTGGTCGTGAAATAAATTCATGTTGCCATGACAAGAATTGAACCCAGGACCCTGGAATGCAAAGGCAAGCATCAACAATCACTAACTCTACTCTGACAATGCTCCACTAACTTTTCATCAGTTATTTATAAGCACACATTCTATTTTAATATTCCATCATGTAATTTAAAAGTTTGGTTTGGAGGAGAAATAAATTCATCATCATTGTCATCAGCCTGTCAGGCCACTGCTGGCCGTTGGCCTCCTCAAACTACATTCTAGGTCTACTCTTTGCCAGATTTGCCCAGTTCACAACAAGCTCATTCTGAAAAAGATCACTCCATCTTTATTACTTAATAATTAAAAGAAATGCATTCTACTAACAACTCACTTGAATTTGAGTTGGAAAATCAATACGCATCCTTTGAAGTGCATCTTTGAGTGACTTGTGTAATGGCATTTCATCAAAAGTGATTTTTCTTTCGATACCATCAGTATCTGGCTGCTTACCCAGGTAAGAAGGATTCTAAAACATGATTAAAACCAATTCAATAAGTTAAAAAAAACAACAAAATGAGAAAGATAATTTTTATTTTCTCAGATGCCAGTTTTATTCTGTCATGAACAAAATAGTGGACTTGAGCCAAAAATCTCTTTTTCAAGAGAATAAAAAATCTCTTTTTCAAGATAATAATAATAATAATAATAGTTTTTAAATAATAAAAAATTATATAAAAAATAATTATTATTCAAATTGCGTCTTCATGATTAATACACAAAAGAAAAAATGTACATATTTGTTTACAGTTCAACAAATATATTTTAAAAAAGTTATTGACAAAACAAAACCACACTGATGTATGAGTAGTAAGCTTACACTTCTGTGTGCAAGTATGGTAAAGTAATCTCCCTTTGATTTTCTATGTTTCCAGCCATGAGATGCAAGTTTTGGTGGATTAAATTTATCATACTTCTGATTCATATAATGGTTAAACTCTTTCCTCTTTGCAGAGATTATTTCTTTTCCAGGCTTTGATGAAAAAACTCTTCCTCCCCATGTTAACTGCCCTCCTTCTTTCTTAACGTTTTCAATTTTCTTTGCAAGTTTCCGAGGTACACGTATAACTTCCAGGCCAGCGGATTCCTGAAACGTAAAGTTTAAAGACTTCTTTTTTTTCAAAAAGGCCAGTATGAGCTAATATTTGCTTTAAAACATTGAAAACAAATACAATAATTACATACAATAATTAAATTTAATGTTACATATTTTTGTTAATTGAATGTATGTGGAATACAAAGATTGGAGAGGTGAGATTAGGGAATAGAGAGGACAAGCTTAAATATCTGAAAGAGAGCATTTTTAAGAACAAGACTGTAGAAAATTCAAAGTATCTAAAACAGAAAGGAGCTCTAAAATGGGATGGGAAGGAACGAAGAATTTATATTGCTACAAAGAGAGAAAGATCAATTGGGAAATTGTGGATGACTGGTGTACTAGTGCTGCTGATGGGAAAATTTTTGAAAGAGTGCTAAGTAAGCAGATTTTCAGTCTAGACTCAATTATAGATGCCAAAGAGTGAGAATACAGTACTGTAATTTAAATGAAGTAGCATAAGAACTAAGCCTTCTGAGTTGTGCTACTAAAGTATAGGAGATTTATACTTTTCTATATGTTCAGAATTACACCGAACAAAGAAGTTATTCATCTAAGGCCCTGTTCAGACTATCAAATTTTATTTGAGAAAAAATGTGAAATGCCTAAATATAGTCATTAAGACATCACATTATGACCATATATAGGCACATCATGACAAGATATGGACATAAAACAGTTTTTTGTCAAATAAAATTTTAGAGTGTGGACAGAAATTTATTCTTTAATTGAAAATTTGAAAAAATAATCTTCCTTTCCAATTAACAGATGCATGAAATATACCATTAATAATTATGTAAGAAGGCTGACTGTCCAGTACCTCCTTGCACTATGTTCGCATAACACTTCTGTATTACAACACTTACCTATGTTTGTATGCTGTATATTAAATCACTTACCTCAGTGACTGCATTACTAATTGCTGCACTGCTATGTAACCTCATCTTTAGACATCTTCTACAAATCTTAAATGAATAATCAATGTTATAGGATACTCTAAAAAATAATAGATATCTACAAAACTGAGATACCAGTATATCTAGACAAAATTTCATGCACGTACGGTCAAAACTGGCAACGCTTGACGCTTTTAAAGTTTGAAACCCCTTTATTATTGTGTAGGGGGAACCCTGGGATCCAACTTAAAAAAAGGGCGATGAACATTTGTTGGAAATTATTTCTAGTTTACATGTACAAAATTTCCTATATGCCTTTTCAAAACTGGTGATGCTGGATGCTTTTAAAGCATGAAACCCCTGTTTTTTTGTCGGTGTAGGGGAACCCTGGGGACAAACTAACAAAAGGGTGATGAATGTTTGTTGGAAATCACCTCTAGTTTATGTATACAAAAATTCATGCACGTCCATTCAAACCTGGTGATGCTGGGTGCTTTTGAAGTTTATAAAGTTTTGGTAACAAGAACAACAATAACAATAACAACAGCAGTGTGGCTCTGTGTCAGCGCTTCGCAGGGACCAATAAGGGAGTATTCAGCTTTGTCTCATACCTCAGTAACTGAATGGTAATTGGAAGCTTTTATGTTTGAATTTTATAGTTAAACTATTAACAATTATTGGTTGGTATCAAAAAAATATATACGCAGCATAAATAAATAAATAAATAAATAAATCAATCAATTAATAAATCAACCAATCAATTAATAAGGTCTACAATCTTACTGTAACAGCATCAGACCTTGACAGCGTCATACAATGATTGTTATGTTTGATTAAATCATAGAGATCAGGCTTGCCTGGTTAAACAAAGAACATAAAAATACAAAAGGTGACCAAGTTATAGCTAAAGCTAACCACATGCTTGGCATGTCAACAACACAACCTAACAATTATTTTTCTTAACACAACTTAGGGGGCTGCAATCGCACCGTCTGCACCCCCCTATTGCCCCAGAAGTTTTTCTTTACGTTTAGGTTCAATGAAGAAAAAGAAAAAGTGCTATAGAAAAGAATAGATAAATAAAGGGAGATATATGAAATCGTCATGTAATGTTCATGTTTGTTTAGTGCAGGCACCTAATTCCTTTTAAAGATGTTTGTGGACTGTCTATATATTTCTCCATAAATATATATTTATATTTTTAAAACTTATTTAATATTTATCATTATTATTCCTTTCTCATTAATTTTGTTTCAACCCGTCTGATCACCTTGATGCAGAAAATGGTGTATGGTATGGGGTTATTAAAGGCTTACACCTACTAAAAGAAAAACCCATGAACTATTAAGTACTGTAGTATATTATTCCTACTACTAGGCCTAGGCAGCACTGGGCCAGGCTAGGCTTAGCCAGAAAGTTGGCCTATAATTTTTAGCACCACTAACTAGAGTCTAGGGCCTAGTATGTAGGCCTAGCTAGATTACCAGGCTAGCTAGGCCACAGCAAGCCTTTATAAATAGGCTATCACCCTCTAGCATAAAGTAGTACAGTACTGGCATTATTATTTCCGTAATTGTATCATATTTGTATCTTTTTGAGATGTGAATTACTTACATGTGGATAGAGTGAATACATTAATTTCGTTAATGAAGAGGAATAAAAACTTCGCACGTACTCGCTTATGGACGCAGCCATCTTGAAATTATTGTAGTCATGGTCATGTACTATAAACTACCTTTAGCTCAAAAATACATATTTTATTATATAAACAAAAAATACACAATCAAAAATATAAAATTTAACATTAAAACTTTTATCAAGTAAAATTTTTAAATGTAATTGTTTTTTTGTGTGTTTTTTAATTGTCCTTAATTAAATCTGTGTTTATAGTTGACAAACGTAGTCTGCTCACCGACCGAGAGGTCAGAGGCAGGAAATTGGAAATGTCGGGGATCAAACAGAAGTTTGGAGTGTTCCGTTCATAAAATTTTTAAAATGTCTAGCGACATTTTCAGACGGCTTCATCCGAATTTTCTCCCATATGTTAAAGCTGTACTGTCAAACGGGCATATAGGTGTGATTGGAGGCCCTGTTCGTTTTGCAGAACCTTTATCAGGGTAGGCCCTAACTTTTTAGTTAGGGTTAGGCCTAGGCTCGTTCATATTATAATGAGCAGTTTGACTATCACCAGTACCAACCCTGAGTGAGTGAGGGCTATGCGAATCCGGGCTAGGGTCTAGGCTAGGCCTAGAGAGGCCTATCTATACCGTCGCCTTCAGTCAGCGTATTGTCATACTCATCTTACGTTAAGAGATTAGTCATAAGATCAAGAATCTATTATTAAGGATAAAACTTTATTTAGTGTAAACTTTTTTGTAGATGAGGTGCAGTCAGGGGTGTGTTCGCATAATTCGTTCCTAATTTTCATGCACTTGTTTGTAGGCCCTGCATACATAGTCATTTTGCTCTAGATAGGCTACCTAATGTATGTCGTGGTTATTGAAGTAAAGCTTGGTTTTCATACAATCACTACACGCTATCGCTGACATCTTTCAGTGATGTTGATTGGTTCGTCGAATTGGGGAGCCTTCCCGATTGCATCGGCGACTGCTACACCATAACAGTACAACAGTTGCACTAAATACACTGGCGATTTTAAGAAAACCAGGTTTATTTCATTCTTTTAATTTCAGGTGCATATCAAGTAGACAGAAGGAAAATAATTGTGACAGGTTTAAAATTCATATTCCATATGCTGGGAGAAATATTTCATGTAAGTACATCTACAGAAAATATATTTAATATCATTTTTTATGAAGACATTGTTCAGACAGTGACAAATTTCGCCTAGGGACATTATCTTTTAATTTAATCTTTCAGAGTTCATGCAATTTACTATACTAGTGATACTTCTAGCTTATAATAAATCAGCTAACTGGATCAGTTAATTTTTGCAGGGCAAATAATCTTTAATAGTCAAAATGTTGACGAACCTCCGGATTTCATATTTGGACAAGATGATGAGGAATTTGTACCAGAGCTTGAAGAAATTAAGGTAATAATATTAATAATCTTTTTTTACCATAGTAGGGTTTGTAATTTTGAAAAGCTTGTTTTGTAAAATGCTGTGCAAGATCATTAAAATATAGTACATAACAAAAATCCTTACCTGTGTCTTAAAATATAAATGAAAGTTAGTGTTAAAAATAGGAAACTTATTTTTGCAATGACGTTTTAGAACTTGATTATCTCATGAATATAACTTTTTGAAATAATAAGCATACATACAAGCATTAAAGACATAAATTAGAAAACTATTCAAGTGAGCAGTTAACTTACATTTAGACAAATGTTTGATAAATATTACTATAAACAACAACATTTTCCTTAGTGTCTTGTGAACTGGAATCCTGGAGATGAAAATTCATTGTTGTACGTGTTGAGAGAGATCGTCTGTTTATATCGAGAACACCAGCAAACACTATTAGAAGTGAATCCACGGTTTCAATTTGAGTACACCTCATTGCTTGATACAAAAATATATGCCGACTTTGAAGTACATCAAGGTAGAAAGGTGCCTGGCGTGAGTACATTTGATCACTTTTAATGTTAACGAATGAATGAAATAAGCGCTAATTTTTTTTCTAGTAAAAATAAAATTTAGTAAAATTGTTTGTATTTTCTGGGCAGCTCCCTCTATTAGTTTATAATTTGTTTCAATTATTATTAATCAAAATTGCAAGGAAATGAAAATATGAAATTATGAAAAAAAACTCTTTTGATTGACTAGTGGATAGTTTCAATGATAATCTATTCATTCTCTACCTGCTGTATTGGCATTAATTTGCTAGCATGACAAGGAATGCTCCCCAGTGAGTGGAGGATGTCGCACTTCATGCTGGATTGCTAATTATGGAGACAATGACAATGTCTAGGGTAATAATCACAACATTTCCAGCGCCTTCTATCCCCTGGCAAAAGGCATGGTACACAGTAAATCCCTAATTATTTTTATTATTATTGCTGCTTTTGTAATTATCGTCATCATTATTATTGTTATTGTTATACCCTAACAATACTCTCCTCCCATTTAGTTCCTCCATCCTTTACTGTTAACTACTTTTTCTTTACCCATCAACCCATCCTCTGTTATCACCTACTCATCCTATCTATCATCCCATTCTCTGCTGCCACTTCTTACTCTACTTATTGTAACCACACACTTACTTGCCATGTTACCCTTTTTCTGTTTGTTAGTTTTTAAATCCATCAAGGACACAGAGAAAGAATGAAAAGCATACAATAGGTTAACATAGATGAATTTGGGATGACCCAATTAGTTTAGTATCCCTCCTGTCAGCTAGTCTAGTCGCCCTCTACCCACTCTCTGCATGAATCTGTCACTCTTTCTCTGGCTGTCATTCCTGCTGTCACATATTCCTGTCCAATCAATACACACACTCCTGTCACCTACTCTTCGTCTGGATGGAGGGCTTGAGACGATGTGGACTACTCATTCTTACAACTTACTCTCCTAAGGGTCCCTTCTAGTCTACAGTGGCAGGGGCTGTGAGATGTACCAGTACACCGGGGTAACCCCTTACTTGTCTCGAAAGATGTACTGGGTTCTTTTTAGTGCACACAAGTCAAATGTGTACTCTGGGCCTACGGTTTATAGTTCTTATCCATAGGTGAGAAACAACCCCAATATTATGGTGTAGGTTGCAACGCTCCTACCTTAACTGCTCGGCCATTCGACATGCATCTTAAGTTTCTACCCATCACTCCAATTCCCTTGTTTCCATTTAGCCAGCACTCTACACTTTACTTATTGACCATCTTGAGCTTGTTTTACCCTACATGTAGAATTCAATTTCCATGTGCCTACAATTTTTAATTTTTGTTGCATTTCAGGTGAGAGATGTACCTATCAATTTTCTAATTCGACTGCCAATAAATTTTCATGAATTACCTGAATTTATTATCAAGGTCAGATTTTATTATAGTAGTTTAAATTATATAACTTATTGTTGAAAGATTAAAAGAAATATAAAGGTGCAAAATAAACTATTAATAAAATAAACATTAACAAAGTAGTTATTTTGGTGTACTTTCCAACAGATGCACTGATTATGTTTAAATAACATAGAATAGACGTTACTCCGAACAATGAGAGGGATGCCATGATTCAACGTTTTAAACATATTAGGTCATCTTCATGCCAGTGTGCATCGTTTTTTGTAACCTTGATATTATCAGACTAATGTTGCCAGCCATATGGAACATTTTGTCCCTGTTCATACTTATTTTTGTAATAATTAAAATAAGGAATAACATAACATCATTGTTTGTTACACTTTTTATATTACAGGAAAATCCAGGCGAAGATGTTGCAATATTGTTGGTAAGCTATCAAAACCAGGCAGCAACCAAGATCTTACCACAACTTTATCTCTCACCAAGAATTGAACAGTAGGTTGAAATAATAAAATCTAAATCTATGTCATAGTCTCAGTTGCCATTAACAATTGGTAACACCACTCTTGTTTTCCCACATGTAAAGAATAACATGAAATGGGACTGGCTCTGGGTAAACCCACCATTTGTCACAATTTCTAATTTCTCCCAAGCATCCAAAACATTCGAGAATCAGAATTTTGAACATTTTCAGGTTTTTGGAATACATTGTATATAAAAGAAGATATTGAAGAGCATTTCTGCAAATCACTGAATCTAACTGAAAAGTATATTAAAATTATATTTTTAAATATTAATCTTAATAATAAACTATTGATTTTGGAATCTTTGAAAGCTGTTTTCTCAAAACCTACATGGCTGATATCCAATTAAATAAATATATATAACTTTGCTATACTCAACCAATTTCCATCAAATAAACCCTGTTTTAAGAAGAATTCATGTGGAATCTAAAAGCACAAAAAAAAAATCAATTTAGAATTTTTCCAACAAACAGCTGGTTTTTGCCAGAGCCGATCACAAGTATATATATAATTAAAGTTAAATAATGACGCTGAAGCGCAAAGTATGATATTGCCAATATTTGTTCGAAATTATATGATGTTTCAAACATACGGCAGGAGGTCATGTATAATTGAAGTTATCGCTTCATAAACCAATAAAAATTTTAATAGACTTTAATAGACTTTTTAGTGTTTTTCCCAGAATATATAGAATTTTCATTGTGAATATTAAAATTGCCCTAAGTGTATTTTTAAAAATTCAACAACATTTGTCACTTTTACATAATTAGGTTAATTACTTACAATTTAAACTCCTTTGCATAAGTTCAATAAAACCTGAAAATGACGTATTTTGCCTATTGTTTAATGTTTGCCACTTAACAAAAAGCGGACTTCTTCTGTTTCTGTTTAATATTTGTAATGGCTTTTGGTAACGGTATGACACACATTTAATTAGCATGTCATACATGTAGTTAATAAACCAAAAATAAAACAGAAATTTCACTTCAAAAACAAAAAAATACCCAGAAATTTCACTTCACCAATTTGGGATCTCTGCATGGTGTAACTAGGAGCGTTGTCTCTTCCCTTCCTGTACACTTTGGTATAATGGACAAAAATCTGAGTGCATGTGTCTGACTTAAATAAATTCATACTGCCCTCAGTGGTTCTTCATGATCTGATAGTGTGTGCCTCTTAAATATTTATTTTTATCTAATTATAGCGCCCTCGGAGGCTCGTCTTCATTAAGGATTCCTTCTTTCCCTGCTGATTCCTGTCTGCTGGATTACATACCACATGTTTGTGAACTTCTTCAGAATATGGTAATATAACACTTTTAAGCATTACTGTTTCATAATATATTATTAATTTCTACATGAGTGGGGCAGTAGTTTGGTGGTTGTCACTTCTCCCATTCCCAGGCGATTATCATTTAAATCATCGTTATTGTTATTATTGTATTCTGAAAAAAAAATATATTTTTGATTTTAGGTGTCTAAAGGTTAAAAAATTAAATGAGCATCTTTAAAATGTTTTTTTTCCCTTAGGTGGAACAAATTAGCAAAGGATATCGAAGACGGAAAGAGTATATTGCAGCATTTTTAAGTCACTATGGAAAGTAAGAACCAAATTTGAATATTTGTATTTTTATCTTATATACTGTAGTACTACAGTTGTACAGTTTGACTGTTTTATCATCATTTGTCATTATCCTCTTAAGCAACATCGTTATCATCATCATCTATTATCATCATCATTATCATGATTTTTCTTTTTATAACCAAGTTGTTTTCTTTTTTAGATCTGTTCTTGAATACGACATTGAAGGCTTCTACAAGATATCATTCTTATTTGAAAATTATGACTTCTTTTGTACAGTGCACAGTAAGTAACTCCTTATAAAATACTTAAGTTATTGTACAGAGTACAGAATAAATCTGTTAGTGCTTATATAGTACTATACAAATGAAATCGTACAGTACAGATGGACTGTATACAATACAAATGCAATATATTTTATAACATCTTTTCTTTTGGTTGTCAATTATTGCAATTATTTATTTTATTACACAACAATATTCTTAAACCTGTAGAACTGGTTGATTGATAATAAACCAAGCACAATGGTTTTAAACTCGTAGTTCTACAGAAGAAACTATTAAAATAATGGTTGTGCTTAATATAATATATCATTCTTTGTTGTTTTCATCATCTTTTGTGAGCAAAATTGTGAATGTCTAAAACAAGACATGCTTGGTTAAAAGCATTCATTAATATTTGACAAAGCAACACAGACAGGGGTGGCGAACACAGAGCTTTCTTACTCCAAGCCACATCACTTCTGATTTTTTGTGATTTAGTTGAGTTGCCAACATATTTCCCAAGAGAGCAGCCAGTAATTCACTTCCAATCAATTTACCATTTTGACGTCTATGGAAAACCCTTCAGCTCGGTCATCCGTAATTACCCCTACAGCCCCCGATGGACGGGCAATGAGATGGCTCAGCGAGTCGAGTAAGTGTGCATGCATTGGCATTAATAAGCATACATATAGTATTGTATAAATTTTATATTAATGAGCAAAGGCAATGCCATAGCCAGGATTTTCAAACAGTGCGAGACAATATCAGGGTGGACCCACTTTACGCGTAAATTCAGATAGAATAATGTGGACCCATTTTGCGCAAAATTATGAAAAATCTGGACCCATTTCCTTACAATTTTAGGCTAAGTATGTGAAATCTGGACCCATTGTTTAAAAAGTGGGTTCATTTTATGCATAAAATTGCATAATTTGGACCCGTTTTTAAAAATGTGGACCCATTCTTTGTGGACCCATTAGAAAAATTGTGTGGGACTGTCCCAACTGTTGGCTATGGCATTAGTACAGGTTATAGTATATAATTTTATTTAATAAAAAAAAATTATAATTTTTATATATAATTTATGAAATTGATGTTTGTAATTTGTATTTAGGTAAATTCAACGAAAAATAGTTTTGAAGAGGAAACTATGAGCCAAAGGCCCAATGCAAAAATTGCATGCCTCATCAAAAGACCAACAAATTACAGTTAAATTTAAATCACCCTCGAAATATACATAAAATCAATCAATCATACATCGTAGAATTCATTAAAATAAGAGGAAATTATCTGTTTAACCAACTCAGACCAAAACCAACTCGGCCCCAGGCGACACTTAAATAAGCCTTTGAAATGATGTGCAGTGTTGCATGAAAACTACAAGAAGCACAACCAGCAAGGTTGTCTCAAGTATCAAACCGTTCAATAAACTGAACGCTGATTGAACGATCTCGTGATTTAATTTATCATGTTATCAAGGTTAATCATGATGTATCATGATGCTCCATTAGATCACAATAGGGTGATAAAAGCTGAGCATGTTATTTGATTCTGGTAGGTTCACATAAAATGACTGGCTTGATCATGTATCTCTGAATCTGAACCTAGCTCTTGTCTATACTAGAAACTGACTAGGCGTATATAATTGACAGCCTTTTGTATAAAATATCATGTACCTGCGACTAACAGTAGCTTAGTTCACATCGAACATCATGATCTTGAGCAAACCATTCACATCAAAAATTGAGCTTGGTCAAACCATGGAGGTATAAAATATTTTATACCTCCATGGTCAAACATGTTGATTAGCCTTCTGACTGATTGGCCTTGGTGGTTTAGCACCTCGAAAGCTGATTGGTTGAATTCGAGCTCATAGAAGAACATCATGATGTTAGCCCAGATCATGATAACTTAACATGATCTTGGAGATCTTAGCTTGAGCTGGTTCACATCGAACATCATGCTGGTTCGATGTAACCAGGCTAGTCTACTGTATGTTTTGTTTATAATATTGGCCGTAATCGACTGGTCGTTCTTCGTTAAACCACGCCCACCGGTGCAGTGGTAAAATCCTACTTAACAAAGACGACCAGAAAACTTGTAAATACTCGACAAAACGAAATGGCTGCATAGTTACCGCGATACACGCTGCGTAATCAAGATTGCTTTGGCTTGTGGCAGTATGGGTTTCTCGTAAAAAATGTTTTCATCTAGTCTTAGAATTCCGTTGTCCTACAATTATTTTTTGACTTTTTCTGAAATTTAATCTAAAATTATATTAACACAAATGTTAATGTTAATGTTATTACTTAACGCTGATTAACGCACTCTGGTTACGTTAATTTTCGTTGTCAACACAGTCTATTTTACGAATCAGTCAAATGAAAATAATACTCAATGAAAATTTGTAGTCGACGAAATGAACCAGTCGAATAAGCCCTATGTTATATAAACACAGGCAGCATGTTGCCTTATTATAATATGGTATGAATGGGGATACTTTATAATGTTGTTCTGCAGTTGTTAATAACATAGTTTAAGCTGTTAAAATTTGTAAATAAATTACATGAATACCAATTTTATTCTGTGTACTACAAAATTAAAAATGGATATCGAGTCTCTTGTTTTTTTTTTTAGTTTATTGTAAAATATGCATTTTCATATTCATTATCCTAGCTATAAATATATATATATTTTGCCGGTACCATATAGTTTGGTCATAGTCCATATCTAATTTCTGACATTATTTTACATAATTATACACAACATACAAAAATAATTGAAATACACCCTGTAATTTTGTTCTACCTATATGAGTTATATACTAGATCTTCATAATCACTACTAAACCACCATTGTAACCCTATTAAATTCCACCTTCACCATTGACCTGTACCATTTTAAGTTTCAGAAAACAGACCACAAAATACCCATGAGCCATTCGAGTTAATGGTATTTAACCACACATCATTTGTCTCCAAGACCATTTATACTCTATTCAATTCACTTTATTTTGATCTGCCTCTCTTTGTAATTCCCTCCATAAACAAATTGCTGAATCACCCTCATTGCTATTTTTTTAATGCCATCAACATCACCACTAAAAAGAACCATTGTAAAGACTATTAAATTCCACCTTCACCATTGACCAAGCATGAACCACATCAACATCACCATTAAAAAGAACCATTGTAAAGACTATTAAATTCCACCTTCACCATTGACCAAGCATGAACCACATCAACATCACAGTTAAAAAGAACCATTGTAAAGACTATTAAATTCCACCTTCACCATTGACCAAGCATGAACCACATCAACATCACCATTAAAAAGAACCACTGTAAAGACTATTAAATTCCATCTTCACCATTGACCAAGCATGAACCACATCAACATCACCATTAAAAAGAACCACTGTAAAGACTATTAAATTCCACCTTCACCATTGACCAAGCATGAACCACATCAACATCACCATTAAAAAGAACCACTGTAAAGACTATTAAATTCCACCTTCACCATTGACCAAGCATGACTACTGTACCAAACTAACAAATCTTTTTTTTACATTATTGTGGCCCTAAGTATTTTTGGGGGTTTTGATGACGTCTTTGTCTGTACGAGGCTTACATAAAACTGCGAGTTCGTATAACTAAGGTACGTAAAAATGAGGTTCTACTGCATTGCTGAATCACCCTTATTGCTATTTTCTAGACCTTGCTTAAAAAGCACCTCTTTTAACAACATCTCTAAAACCTGCACAGTGCCTTTGATTTTTAAGTCTGGTTCAGTGATGTCAACACTTTATAAATACCTTATTTGATATACAATAATTTAAGAAATTTACTTAAATAACTGCTGTACATTTTTGCTAATATCCTCAAATTGTTGATCTGGAAGGGAGACTCCCTTAAGAATTTGTATAGCAGTTTCTTCTGTTAATGTTTTGTAGTCTTCCTCACCTGAAAATGTAAAAAAAAAAAAAAAAACCTGAATACTTTCATTCAAGTGGAAACAAAAATACATAACAAAATAGTGTGATTTAAACATCACAAATATTCTCCCAATGACATGGGTTGTCATAATTTGAAATGAAAATTTCCGAGAACCGGGCAACTACCACTGGGGACTTGTAGCAGTTAGCCTAGGCCTGCAGTGTCTGTCGTTGAGACAAAAGAAGATACTGTATGTGTCTGGAAAAAAGAAATTTGCTGGCTGCCTGGACTGGATGTGCCGAGCGAGAAGTTGAGATGTTGGTGGCGCTGTTTCAAAATAGACCCAATAAATTGGTGTATAGAACCTTAGGCTCAACAATGCAAGCTGAAGGCATCAAAGCCGCTTCACAGCCCATCAACCAACCCAGTCAATGCAAAGAATAAATGAACGTTATTTGACTGTTACAAGAAAAGCTAGTTTAATACTAACAATGTCTGACTTCTATAGAGCAAAATGCCTGAGCTTCAATGTGCTTTACTTAAACAAGATAACATTTGAAATATTTTTTTTAGCTTATCAGAGCTGGCTATGACCATGGAGGTATTATTGAGATCACTCGGCAACATATCCACTTTGACGCGACAAAGCAATGTGTTCACTGCCTTTGGATCACGCAGTGGCGTGTATCTTTTTAATAACATAACAGGCTTTTATACGCTTCAACACAGCAGATGTGTGATAAACCATTTGATGTTAACTCATTAAATATCTTCACAATTAACAATGTTCCCCTGATTGGATTTTTTTACCTTTTAGTATGTTATTATGTGTATATTTCAGGAACAGATTCCGCAAAATATTTCTATTGCAATTAGTTTTGTGTTCCTTATAATTTTGTCTAAAGATTGACTGGTTTGAATATAAAGCTGGGTCAGCGTAAAACTGAAAATTACTCTGGTTTTGGATTGAATTTTGGTAGTCCAAATTATGGAAATAAAAGTTGAAATATACCATATTTCTAAAGCTCATGTAAATATATCATTTAATTCGAAACTCTTTTTTTGTAGAAAATATCAATATGTTTGGTATTTTTTTAAAAGATAAAGTATTAGCTTTAAAGTGGAAACAACTGCACATCTATAGCGATTAACTGTAAGCAGTGTGCATAGGGAAAACAAGGTGCTCTCTACTTCGCCATGTTCTATTTCTTGGCAAACTAAGCCCATTGAGCATTTGGTGGCGGGAACACATTAGACTTCTAAGGCATTGCATAAATGAACTTCACGCGCTGCTGCAGCTTTGACCTTGGCCCATTTGCATAGAGCTGCGTGCAAGGAGCTTTTTTAAGTGATCTCCTTCTCAATAATACCTCCATGCTATAACTTAATTATTCAATACTGATTTCTGAGAATTTCAGAACATGTTCCAGATGTGAACTTACTTTTTACTGGTAGGTGCCCTGCTAATTCACATACTGCTGGATTAAATGACGTGAAGATTTTGGCTCCTGAAAATAAAGAAAAGGCATTATTAAACTAGTGAGACTATTGTTATACCTTCTTTCACAAACTCAATCATTCTCTATTGATATTTTAATATAAAAATATACAAAAGAAAACATTTACTACTACTACTACTTTTGGTAGAATCATTTTCACAAAAAGAAAAAGAATATTTTATTGTTGATGATGATAAATAAATGAATAAATGAAATACTCAGCTCCCCTGGGGAGAATTCCATAACGTTGCAGCTATATTTTGTGTTTGAAACTACCAGGTAGCCCTGGAGAGAGACAACCATAGGTAAAGTGCCTTGCCTAAGGACAAGTGAAATGCACAGCGAGGGATTGAACCTCTGACCTCAAGGTTAAGAAGTAGAACCGCAAACACTGTGCCAAACAACTCCTTACACAAAGTGTATATACCACTCCTACATAGTACAGGAGAAAATACTTACCAAATGAGGAAATCCTGGGCCATATATAGGCTCGTATAGTCCTTTCTCCTGGCCTTTTATCAAGACATTCACCTCGTGTTAAGAACAAGTTGTGAGCTATGTTGTTTTTATGCATGTACGAAGTAACTTTGTGTATATCACTAAGTAAAGAAAAAGAAAGATCTCAATCTAGTTATCTAAGTGTTAAAATAGTTACATTTTGCTTACAATACAAGTGCAGACCTCTCTCAGGCGAAAACTTTTTTTATACTTGTTACGTGATCTTATTTTTTTAAAGATAGTCAGAGAAGGAAAAAAATAAATATAAAATTCTGTTTTCTTATTTTGCAAATATATTTGCCAAAAACCTCCAGATGGAGGAGGAAGTAATCCTAACATTTTTTATTTGTGAATGTAATCAGTGTAGTAATGGTTAATTGATTTAAATTTATATAATTCGGAAGAAATTTACATATCTTATTTTTGGAGATTTGAAGGCAGCAGCGGGCGTTATAAAAATAAATAACCAAAGGTCGTGAGTTTGAATCGCGTCTTGTATTCAATGGTTAATTTTTTTTTAAAGACATTTTAATTTTGTACATATTATTTAATCTAATTATTTGAAAAACTCTGTCTTATGAGGAGCTCTAGAAGTACTTGGCTGATTGATTAATTAATTAATCAATTTTTTTTTATGAAGTGCACCACCAAAACCAAGGACTGTACATACTGCCATTACCACTAACAGGCCACGTCGTATAGATGGCGTGGTCGGTTGACGACGTGTTCTATTGAACCAAAGGTCGTAAGTTCGAATCGCATCTTGGCACTCAAATCATTTTTTAACATTTTAAGACATTTTAATTTTATACAAATGAATATTCTAGTTATTTAGAAATTTCAATCTTATTAGCTCTTTTTTTTGTCGAAAAGCTCTCAAATACCTTAGAATGTTCATTTATGCAAAAAAAAAAAAAAGGCACGATTCCAACTCACAACCTTTAATGCCATTTATACGACATGTCCTGTTAGTGGTGGTAATTAATGGCAATTACAATATAAACCAGTGCCGAAAACCCAATATAATATTAATAACTTACACCAATGTATACAGTATTTAAGCATGGAGGATATTTCCTCCATGATTTAAGCATGTGTTAATATACTCTACTGCCTCTATTATACTGCCCTCATCAGAGCTTTTGAGATTACTTGTTTTACTCCATCATATGCCTAGATGAACCACAAATTGAATTACTGTACATGATATTATCTATTGCACATGTAGTATAATATACAAATATTGACTGCTCATGAGGGGAATGATGAAATATATTGCCCTGAGGTGATGTGGAGATCATCACGAGAGCAGAAGGCCCGACGGAAGGTAGGCTACGATCTCCACATCACCGTGAGGCAATACATTTCACCGTTCCCTAGATAGGGCAGTCAATATTTGTTTTACATTATACCTCATACATAGATTCTACGAAGCCTAAAAAAGTATTTACTTCCTAGCCTAGATTAGAGGCCTATTAATTAGGGCCTATGTGATCAAAGAGTGTCTAGTTCTTCTTTGCGCATTTCCTCAATTTCAACCCATCGTCTTGCAATGTTTGTCGACTATTGACAAGATATATTTAATTTGTCGTTTGGTGCTTTTGCTATTGGCTTCATCAAGAAGTATAGGTCTAGGCTAGTCCTTCTTCATCCAGGAGCTCGAACCGACAGCCTCCATATTGTTTATCGTCTACTCGCTGATCCGTGGCACGGTCAAGGGTCAATCTCTTTCGTCGTTGAGGTCGCAGTCCCCTCTACCATCAGCGCGAAAAAAATTAATATTTTTCAGAGGTATAGTACTTTTCCGGGAATAGTACTTTCTATTGCCCACTTTTTAACCAATTAGATGCCTAGAATCTATGTATGATGTATATTTATGCAATGAAATAACTAAAATTATATAATAACAGATTTTAGACAAGTGGCAGTTGCTGATAATTTTCAAATTCTCTCCAAACTATCACATAAATCAGGAAATGAGTCCTTTTAATTTAGATATAAATATGTCAATGTTTGCTAATATTGTACTACAGAATGCTTAAAATTTAGGCGTAGGTAGAAAAGCTTTTTCTGTCTAGGCCATAGCCTTTATTACTTGTTGAATGTTTGGACCTATATACCTAGTGTGTCTTTGCGGTATGTCAAACATAATAGTACCGGGTTATTTCCAATTATAGTACACTCCATAGTCCCAAAAATATCAATGCAATATTGTTTCATTATGTGTAAGGTAATTTAAAAAATATTCAAATGTAGCATCACCTGGTCAAACTCTGAACATCTGAGCCATGGAGTTGAAGCACAAATGCTCGGACTGGCCAGTCTGTTGTTTCGTATAAAGTACCTGTAAGTTTTCCGCATTCCTAGTAAAGCAGAATTAACTTCAAAACATGATACAGGTTAACATAAGGCTCATAAATAAATTCATGTATCGATAAATTCAAAGGTAGGGTCAATCTATGTCTGTAAAATAGAACATATGACTTTTTCTAATTGAAATAATGAGAACTGATTTTTATATAGTTTTAAAAAATGCGTAAAAAATTTGATGCAAAAAGAAAACGGGTGGCAAGGATATTGCTGAGAGTAACATGGAGAGTTTTAGCAATTGCGCTATAGAGCCCAGCACTGTTATAACCGGAGAAATTTCAATCTATGTGTGTATTTTCAACAATAAATTTACCTAAGTTTTATAGGTTTAGAGCAAAGATTGTTTTCATGGAAATTTTGTGCTGCACCTAACCTACAGCAAAAAGTACCAATGCAAACAATATTGACTACTGATGATTAGTGAAACAATAAAAATTACTGAGTTCAAGTGACAGATATTTTTCCCATGATAAAATTTGTTCACTTGACAGGCCATGAACTCATGTATTGTTATTGTTTTATTGACTGCATCATCAATATCAATAAAACAATAAGAATATCCGAGTTCAACTCCAGTCAAGTGACAGAAAATTATCTTGTAAATAACCAATTCCAATAACTACTGTAAGTGTCATATCAAGACTTAAGCCCTGCACTCACTGTACCTGACATACGCAATTCTATGAAGAACGCAATGCCACGACGCGTGCAACAGATCATTTTTTCGTTTAGAATGCCAAAGGGAAGCGAGTTGGATTTATCGACTGACGGTCATATGACGTAGTGAGTGCCGGCTTTAGATTATGCAGACCATTGATCAGTGGCGTATATAGAAGTCTTGAAATGGGGGATGATGGGGGAGGGGGGCTCTATGTTCAGTTGAGGGTTGATAATTCACAAAATAAGGTGATTTTAGGTGATTTTTAACTACTTGATCGTGATTTTTTTGGGGGGGACCCACCATAGATACGCCACTGACCATGATGTGTATGTACAGTACAGTATGTCTTGTGAAAAGGATTGTCACTTTACTGAGTACAAGTGGTCTTCTGATTAAAGACCTCCAAACTACAGACCGCCTCCAATTTAAGATTACCTTCCTGTGGTCCCAAATTGACAATTGTCTTATCTCTATTATTTTAATCACAAATCAAAGCTGCTCAAGACTGTGGAAATCCTGGTTCTAAAAGTTGTCTTAATTGGAGAGAGATCTATCAAATTTCGGCTTTCCTTACCTCATGTGAATAGTACATTTAAAAAAAAATATAAAATAAATTCATATAAGTTGAGAGTTAAAAAGTTAACTTACTGCAATCTCAGTGTAGAGGTCAAATTCTAGGTAATATGCATGAAAATGTAAATGGTTGACTGATGCAAAGGCACACAAGCTGTTCCACCCTAGACGAAAGCTCCTGCAACAGAAAACATATAAATTGAGAAACATGAATAAGTTTTATAATTTTCATTTTTTTTTTTTTGCGGTAGGCTTCCCTATTATAGAAATGTATGTTATTTGCACCCTTGTGTAGAACTAATCAATGGAAAGTTCCACCACTACTACTATCATAATTGTAACGGCAAAATCGAAATTATGTCCTACATAATCTATCTATGTATCTATATTTATATGTCATATTTTACAACTATTTTACAGTTTTACTGTTTGATTTCATCTCATGCTGCACTCTGATTTTATTGTTTGAATAAAATATATCTGAATATATTTAGGTATATTGTTTGAATAAAATATACCTGAATATATTCCACTGTTATTGACAGCAGTATTGAATAAAATTTGGTTTTGCAATGCATTTATTGACCTTTTATTCATTTCAATAGTTTGATTGTTTTGCGCAGAGAACTTTTAATTATTGCAGCCTTCTAACTTTTAATGTTTTTTTTATTTGTGTGATGTAGAATAAATACCCTGAATAATTACAAATAACAAAAAATTTAATATGTCAAGATATTTAGCAAACAAGAATTATTAGGAAATTGCTGGAAGTTACTTTCTGTGCAGGGTCAACAACCCAATGAAATTCAACATTTGAATTGCTCACAATATTTCAAATATTTAATTTAAATTGTAAATTAGAACAAACATCAGCTCTGGCAAAACCAACCATATGTTCCAACAATTTAAAATTGAGTTTTTGGTATTTTTAGATTCTGCATGACGCCTTCTTTAAAACAGTGCTTTAATAAGCAATATTTGATGGAGATTGGTTGAGTATTAGCAAAGTTATAAATATTTCATTCATTGCATATCAGCCATTAAATTTTTCAACTCTATTTTTGACATATCTTTATTCAAAAAAAAAAAAAAAAGACGTACAGCCTGTGTAATCTTTTCTAAGAATGCAATGTGCTTTCATGCTTTTGTATTTTTGCAGCTGGTCCTATTTTAGAAAGAAACCACTGAAACATTTCGCATTCTGTTTCCATGCCATTTGTTCCATATTTTGTATAAATTTTTCTGAATAATCAGCCATCCTATCTTTATTTTCATGGTATCCAACGAATAAAAAATGTGTTGATATCATTCAGTTTCAGTTTATTCATTTTCATCATCATCATTATCATCACCATGATTATCATTCATTTATGCACACCAGGGTTGTTTTATCCTGATCGGCCCCACTTTCGAACATCTCTGGATCCACCCCGATATTCAAACAAACTTTTTTCTTACAGAAAAACAAATTATTAACAATTATGAAAAGATAATCTTCATGTGAATGATCAAAATTGTTGTCTTCTTTTACCATTCCTGGTTAAACTTTTGGAAGAAAAGCAACATTAAAAAACAACAAATAGATAAAATAAATTTGTATCTTACTTTGTGGAACTGATCAGTATCATTTCAAGTGCTAGCTGTATACTTAATTCATTCAGTACCTATATGAGAAAAAAGTTAGTATACAATTATGATACTAAATCTTATGAGTTAATAATAATAATAATAATAATTTATAAAGCGCCAATATCACTAAATCGAAGTAAAAATCAATGGGTGCTGTGCATGTTCAGATCTTCAGTAACTGAAGGTGAGTCGGTAATATGTTTTGGGAGGGAGTTCCAAAGTGTGGCAGCTGAAAATAAAAATGATCTGTGGCCGTAGGTTTTGGTGTTAACTTCTGGAACAATACGCAAATTAAGGTCAGAAGAACAGAGGAAGGATAAGGAGACATATTTAGGAACGAGTTCGAGTAGGTAAGTGGGCTGTTGGAGTCGCAGTGCTCCATCCCATTTATGACTGGTCTACTAAATCCTCTCAAATAAACTATTATAGGTTGGCCAACAGTAATCTGAAAACAGCACTGCAGTACACCCATCAGAATGCATAGTAGCTCTTATCTATAAAAATAGTGATGATCAACATAAGATATAATATTAACAATAATATCAATTTTTTAAAAACTCACCTGCGCATAACAGCTGTTCACATTGGGTACTAACAGGACATTGCAGTATTCTAACGGACTGATGTTGATGACTACAAGATGAGGGTTCTTTGATTCACCTTCTTTTGTTTTGTTTATATCTCCATCTATGAAATGGTTGTTGACTGGTTTCATTTCAAACAGTATCTAAACAAAAAGATTATAATTTTGTTCAATATTATATATTTGGTCAAAAATAATTTTGAAGAAAATATGTTTTCATGTTTCAATGTTTTCATAATTGATCAGATTAACAGGTATTGCAAAATACACCTGAAATGAAGCTGGCTTACATTGTGGAAACAGTAAAAACTACTTTCAACCTAGTTTTTATTTACCCAGTGAATTTCTTCAGGTGACTGACTCTCCATATTAATTTAGCGTATATACTATAATTTCCATAGTGCTTATTTTTACATTCAAAAAGGTCTAAAACCCTAATTTGGTTAAATATGACTTGGTATTGTATGTAATCAGAAATTTCCTTAATTATGACCCAAAGTTAGAATTTGGACAACATGCATGCTATCATTCTGGTTTTTGTTTTTTTTAATTCAACAACAGCATTTAAAATTCACATAATATGGCAGCACTGAGATACATCTGCATCTCGAGCTTAATTACATTTCATGATTACATAAAAAGACAATGGAAAAAAAAAAAATCAAAGCAGCTAAACTTGGATCAAATACTAATTAAATATTTGAATATTTTTTCCAATTAGACCATTATAGTTACACAATGGGATATTAAAATGAGTAATTAGCATAATAGTGGAAAAATTTTAGACTGTAGTACAGAAAAGCCATAAAAATTTACTCATAACTTTGGTATTAATATTAGCAAAGATCTTATAAACACAAAAGATAGCGTTTTCCGCGATTTACGCGTGCAAATTCTGTAATAAGGCATGAATGGCGCCCTCTTGCTAAATTGGAAACTTTTGACCCTTGACCGCTCTGACCATACCGTACACCGCACGTCTTTACCTTGGGTGTATCAATCCTGTGAACAGCAGAACAGGAACTATCTCAGATCCATGGCAATAGATAGGACGCCCTCTTCCAAAACTGATTACTTTTTCTCTTTGGTATAATAGCGCATGAATGGCACCCTCTTGACCGACACTTCTATTTGTTACGCGTAAATCGCGGAGAACGCTATCTTGTGTTTATAAGATCTTTGATATTAAGTCAATTGATATTAATATTATTATTAAATCAATTGATATGATCCACCATTGTAAAGCATATGTGGCAAAGACAAGCCAAACCAGTCACTCGTCGCAAAAATCGATTTTGAGTTATTAATACAATGTTAGAGAGTAAAATAATAGCTATGAAATGGTAAAAAAATCATTTAAATCGGACATTTCCTTATGAAGTTACAAGCGTTTAAACATACAGCTGTTTAAAGAACAATATATGAGAAATCAGCCTTCAAAGTTTATGATTTCAGGCATTTCTCATGCAGAAACTATCATCAAATCCTTAAAAAGTGTTGTTTTAACATTGAAAATGGGGAAAATAACAGCATAGAATGATGTATAGCTATGTAAAGATTAGTTTAGTGCAATAAAATAGATTTTTAAAAATTTGACATTCCAGCATGTTTTGGCCATTTTCTCTGAAACAAGATTTGCGACGAGTGACTGGTTTGGCTTGTCTTTGCCACATATAATGTTGGGAATATGATTATCAGACACCCTCCAAATAGAGATCACTTTAATACCCTATTCAGACTAGACTTTGCATTGCGACCGGTTGCGATGTAATCGGTGGTAAACAGTTGTAATCCAAATTGTTCGCAACCATTCACCTTTTGACTTTGATACTTTACGTCACTAGCAACGATATAGTTCGTCCTGTTTTGTTTGACCTCAGCCAATCAGTGCCTGTGGAATCCGTTGCGATCGGATTCCGTGGTAATCGGGAGTAATAAAGATTGTAGCACCCAATCGCAACGGGTAACAATTGTGAAATCGATTACTTATCGTCTACTATTGGTGAGCTTTCAGACACGATTTTACTTTGCAATTAGGTGTCGCAATTGCTACAACCGATTGCAATGCGAAGGTAGTCTGAATGGGATATTATTCCGAAACCCCTTTAATTCAAGACCCTTTTTTTTTTAAAGAATCAAATAACAATCTACAATCTTGAATACAAAGCCAACCCAAAGTAGAGACCGAACCCAGAGAGACAACCCTAAATGTTCAGGTTTTAAAATGGTCTCAAATTAGAGAGCGAACTGTATTTCAAAAAGTCAATTTTAGGTTTACTTTGGCCATGGATGTATGCATGGATGCCAAATATGGATCACAAAGAAAGGTGCAAGGACATACCCTAATAATTTTCATTGTAGCTTTACCCCTACAAAGCAATTAGCAGGCCTTGTTACTATTTATAATTAACGATTTGTATACTATACCTCATGTTTTTTAATCTTGGTAAAGTTGAAGCGGTCATGATTGAATGGTTGATCAATGCTAGATATAGCCTCAGCTTTCCTTCTGTCTGTTGCTCGCTTCGTGTTTAACTGTTGACAAATGGTTTACAGAATTATAATTTTTCAATAATTTTCAAATACATTTATTGGTGATGATTGGGAGGTCGGCAACTCCCCCCCCCCCACCCTCACTCTTTATTCCGCCACTGGATATAATATGATATGTCCTACAGTCAATTTCAGACACACATTATGCTGTTGCCCTTGTGGGGCTGAGAAAAGAAAATTATTATTATTATGGCACGTCTAGATGGCCGGAAATGGCACTCATGGACTTAAAATTGTGTATATAATTTTCTTTTTATCTCCATTTAAAAATTTTTTTTTTTTGACAAATTTGGTTGGGTCCTGGGCCGAGAGGGGGGGCCCCGTCGGACCGACTAGGCCCCCCTCTCTTTAATCGTTATAATACGATATATGCCCTACAGTCGATTTCAGAGACACATTATGGTGTTATTTATCAACAAGGTCCTTTTTGGTCAGGGTGCTAGTTTAAAGAACCTATGGGTAGGGCCCCTTGGGGGCCCCTAGAATTCGGGGGCCCTGCAGACTGCATAGGCGTTACGTCACTGCATGACAGAGAAAATTCGATCGGCTTCTTTTGGTATTACAAATACTGTATGTACTTTTGCAAAAAAAAGCTAAACCAGCTATAGGCTATAGGCAATAACAGACTTTAGATGGTCCTAACGCTTAGTCGGCTACAATAGTGATGTCGCTACTAGTTTATGATCATAGACCATTTACCATCTTATATTTTAAAGCCTACTCAGAGGCATAAAATAGACCTAGATCATCAAAGACTGAGAATCGAACGACGAATATTCCGCAAGCTCAGCATCTGAAAAAACCGGTCTACTGTATGTTTATTTACATTAATTTTGATACATGCGCATATGTTGAGCAAGTGTGACGAATGTGTAACAGCGCCCTCAATCTTATATTACCAGGGAGTGCTTGTTTGTGTTTCAATACTCAAAGCGGTCTAGGCGAACACCGTTTTATAGTAATAAAGCCAATTTCATTCGAGGAGTCAATACTACCAGTTAAAACTGTTTTATAGCAATCCGCCCCAGACTTTTGGTTGGCCAGGGACAAGCATCACAACATAATTTTTTTTCCACTCAGGTGAGAAATGTACCTTTAAAGCAGGTAATATTACTCAGGTGAGGAAATGTTAGTATAAAGGAAACACACTCACCTGGGCAACAAACTTGTATTTGCCCGCAAGAATCTTGGTCTGAATATGATCGAGAGTGTAACGAAAGCATCCTGCCTCCATTGCAGCATCCCACTCAGAACGCAACATCTTGTCAAACTAAATACAAAATTAACAGTAAAATTTCTCTTTAAATAATTAAAGAAAAATTATGAACTGAGGTGGGAAAATTTGAGGAAATACTGTAGTACCTACGAATGACAAGAAATGACTCTTATACAGTAAAATTAATCATCATCATCACATGACCAATTATAATCTTCTATCAGCAATTTTTTGGCAACCAGATATCTAATTAATATGTGTGATGTATCATAGAAAATAAAAATTAAAACATTTTCATTGATGTAAACTTTACTTTAACTACTTTAAAGTCGTGAAACCACACCCACCTCAGCCCCAACCAAAAATTTGAGGAAATAGTACGTCCTCATGCTGGCCAGAAATGACACTCTTATATAGTAGAAGTCATCATCATAACATCACCATGATCTCTATTCAGCGATTTTTGGATACCACAGAGATAACTAATCTCTGTATTGTACCATAGACAATGAAATTTAATTGTCTTTTTGATGTACCAGTATTTACTTCACTTTAGCTACTGTATTTCATGTGCCGAAAATCTTTACTAATACTTCTCAAATTATAAAAAAAACATGCACACTCAAGTCGTGTATATTAGATAAATCAGATGTTTAGTTATACTGGTATCTTGCTATAGCATAAGATGTACAGTAACTGTACTCAGGCTGTACAGCACTCTTTCGTTAAAACCTGGGTCATTTATGCGGTTCATTTTAACAACTTTGACACTGCAGTTGAAAAGGTGGGGAGACCAAAACCCCTTAAAAATTCATGGGGGACTTGTTCCCCTGTCCACCAAGATCTGCGCCCATTAATCAATGTATGGGTTTGTTGTACAAACAGTACTGTTACCGTGCTCAGAGTACATTCATCCTTCTCTGACCAAGATGTTTGTCCCGATGTGACACTCTCAACTGAGTATTTGAATTCCATTATTCTGAAACTAAAATTACATGGACAATCAAAAACAAAGAATGGATCAGGTGCGATCCATTGACTCCTAACAGTACTATAGGCCTACTTTACTCTGTCAACCTCTGTCCTAAAGAGAGGCCTACCTAGGCCTAGCTGTGAAGGACTGTGATGTGTGTAGGCCTAGGCTAGCTACTAGGCCTACCTAGTAGTCTAGTAGTTAGTAGGCCTAGGCTCAGTACGGCCAAGACTAGGCCTACCGGGATAACCTTTAAACTAGAGTCCAGAGCATAGGCCTAGCTATACTATACTGATACAGTACTTGCAATTAAACTTCCTCTCTTCCTACTTGTGGCCGCTTTGAAATCAGTTATCTAAAAACATAAACATCAAATAAAAATAAACCGATAAAACGAACACCGGTGGTTACCTGGTTTCGGCACAACGAGTAGTTTAGTAATTGAGGGCAGTATTCTGGTAATTGTCAAGTTCAAGTTCATTTTATTGGTCATGTACCGTCCGGAAGACATCAGTATGAATGAAATAGATAAAAATTGCTTCCCGGTACAATACATAAACTTATTAATATACCGAAATATGAGATGCAAAGCATAGATTGCACAGATTAACACATTCTTAAAAATATGAAAAAGTAAATAGAGCCAAAAAAACCCCCCAAAAAACCACAACACCACCCTTGAGCTCCGCATCCCCAAAAAACAAATATATTTAGGCCCTATCGCTTATGGAGTGAATGTGTCTTTTTTATTTTCTTGTTTTTTTTTTTTATTTTTTTTATTTTTTGTTTTTTGTTTTGTTTTTGTTTTTGCTTTTTTGTTTTTTTTTGCTGGAATATAATTATACGTTAGTATTTAATCATACTGACATAAATGCCCTGTCATTGGAACAATACGCGTGTTTGCAATACACTCGCGTATTACTGACTCTGTTCTGATTCGTCAGTTATTAATTAAAGTTTGTCACTCCGGAAAGGTTTATTGGTAGAGCAAGTGATCACAAAGAATAAATAACAGAAGAATGAGCTGCTCCGCGTATTTGTATTAAAATTGATGGAACATCCGCCCTCCCGCGAATGGGATAAAATTTGAACATTTTACTAAGTAGAGAACCTACAGGAAACAAACGAACCAGAGCGGCACCTTTATTGATTGCTGTTTATTATTTCTATATAGCGCCGCCGCGCGGACGGGGTAAAATTGCTCCCGTTTCACTATAATGCAAGCTGCTCTATCTTCTGCTATTTATTATCTTTGGTGAACAGTGAAATAACGATAGCGAGCATGCGCAAAGCAATTGTAATTAATTGTAAATTGTTTATCAGTTGATTATGATAAGAGCGGCGGTACCGCGGGCTATAATTTGTGATGTTCGCTTCGAGATGTTTCCATGTAATTTCACTGTTCCCTGGGTAGAGCAACATCAAAGTTCGAAATTTGGGTTCGAATCTTGGGACAAAAATATTTTATTATAGAATACCATTTATCTTAATAACTGTAGTGTTTCTCCGTACAAGTTTAATATCATGATTTGAATTATTTCGAAATAAATCATGCGATTTTAAATTATTGACTGTAGATATTAATTTGATGTTAATTTCTCAGCATATGAGCAACATGTACTGTATTATTAAGAGATATTTTCATGTACTAGTGCAGCACAAAAATTAACTTGTAAATTACAATATTTTAAATTAGCACTGCGGTGCCCTTTTTTGAAAAACTAGAACCCCCACCCCTTTTAAAATCCTGCCCTCAGGATTGAGTGTTATTTCATCTGGTTATTTAAGACTCAATAGCAGATCCAGGAATTTGAAATAGAGGGGCCCTTGGAAGGACTTTCACAGATGAGGATGTAGACCACTTCAGCACCACCATAGTTGGTGCTGAGGTTAGGTTATGGAAAAATAAAAATAATTTTAGAGGCCTGGCCCCCTTCCACTCCCCATCAATCCGTCACTGTTAGTACCACAATGATATGAAACATCAAAACGTGTTGGGTATGTAATCTTGATTTAGCAAACACACTTATTAAAAATCATTACTCTAAAAGCGGCACAAACGTCTGGTGCGACAAAGGTGTGCTTGAATAGAACATTTACGGTGAACCTAAAAAAAAAAAACGTACACAGTATTTGTATCCACATATATATGCCCTTTATTGCGTTAGATTACTCAGCTGAATCATTCTAAATATAATTCAATCTAAACAGGAATGATAACACAGCAACCTCATAATATTTTGTGCAAATGATTTTTAAAATATTGAAATAAACCTTCCATGCAGTCTGATCACCTTTTCAATGAATATCATCTGCTGCCCTCATTTTCTAATATTTGCCAATAAGAAATATGTTGTAGAAACTCATTAAATTATATATAATTTTTGTATTAAAATAATTAGCCTATAAGTGGGAAATAGCTTTTACATTAGAATGAATATTAGCTATAATTTACCTTGTGCAACTTAGTATTTGAAATTACTCCAATTACAGGTGGGTAGGCCTATAAGTATATGTTTTAAGTGGAATCAAGATTAACCTCTTAAGAATAGAGATGTTATATTTCCAATATCAATATATATATATATATATATATATATATATAGATATATAGATATATATACCACCTTTGATAATTTATATATGTGACCTAAGCTCACAAACAGGCTGTAAACTTGTCCTCAGGCCAAAATGAGTTTTTGTTATAATGGCATAGAACATATCATTTACTTTAAAATGACAGTTAAATAACTCAATCGGGTGTCTGGAAGCAAAGTTATGAACGTTTGAATAATTGTCATCTTATCATCTTCCTTAAACCAAGCTTTGAGAAAAATGCTTTTATTTTCAGCAGGTTTCTATTCATTTTTCACTAGCTCCAATCCGAAAATGGCTAAATTTTACCTCTTACAGTTGGAATTTTAAACTCAAACTTCGGGAATAGTAAGATTAATACAGTAGTTATACTTTATTTATTACACAAAAACCCAATTCACACAAAATTCACGTTCTACACCCTATTCTGGGTATTGAGGCTTGTTTCTCAATACAGTGCAGTGCGAGTTTACAGCCCTTTTGTGAACTTGGGTCACATATTATATATATTTTGAGTATTCATTGACCTGAGATAAAATCTAAATATACGACCTTGTAGCAGGCAGTGGTATAGCATACAATTATGTAATGGTTTGTAATCACCAAAATAAACTATGTTCAATAATGTAAATTGGAAAGACGCAAAATAAGACAATACTTATGCTGTCTGTTGAATTTAAATTATACATTCCTCATCGAGTAAATCAACAAGCCAGTGAAACAGAACTCAGTCATGTTGTTGATATAGCAAACTACAATTTGTGTAAAAATCTTAAAACAAGATTTGTTACAGCAATAACAAACCAAATTTGTTGTCATAGTTGTTGAACATTTTGTAGTAAACTATATGGTTTGATATTGACAATGTTTTATACAGATTAGTAGTAATACTGTAATCAGTAAGTTGACAATATATAGTAGTGTTGTTTTTAAGACCTACTGTCTTATCAAACTACATCAAACTATAGGTGAGGATGGAGCTGGGTTTTGTATCACTAAAATATGTAAAGACCTATGCTTCCAAGATTAATGAATTAATATAATTACATTATCATCGCCATTGATGGTCTTGATCTACAATAAATTCTTCATTATGTTTTTAAAACAAGAGCAAAAAGTAACATTGAATAAAAGTTGTTTCAATCTGGTTTTAGAAAACTTAAATGTTGGTAACATTCAATCAATCAACAGTTATTGCTGTAAACAATAAAAACGAAAATAAAAATCATTAGAATAATCAATAAATTATAACACACAATGGAAGCTAGTTAGTAGGTCTCTACAGCTTCGCCTGAGGAGATACTCGTTCAGATTGTCAAGCACTGAGGAACTGAATAGCCATCTCCTTCTCCTCCAGCAACTCCTTGGCTGTGACGTCCATCTTTTCACGAGCAAAATCACTGATGCTAAGACCCTCAACTACACTCCAAGATTTATCTGCATTGATTTTAACTGGCATACTATAAATAATGCCTTCTGGGATACCATACTTGGTTCCATCAGACAGGACACCCATAGATACCCATTTATTCTGAAATAAAGTATATAAATTCAAGTCACATTAATCTTTAGTATGTTGTTGCTACAGTAAACCCGGGCACTTACTGTGCTCGACGGTCGTTGGTTGACGTGATTCTACAAAGAATGCAACACAACGACGTGTGTGCAACGGATCGTTTTTAAGGACGACCCATCTGACTGCCACGGACAGTCAGCAGATGATGACGTGCCAATTGACTATTATACTTCTCAATGCAAAAAAAGCTTCATGTGTTTTCAGGAGCAAAACAATGTGACAGACGACACAGTGTTCTTTAGAAATGACCTAATAGAGAGCTAAATGTGTCAAATCATACTTAACTAACCCATCACAGCAAGGTAAAGAACATGTGCACATCCCACATCTTCACCATGTTTACCATCTGTCAAACTATGAGGCCTTAGCAACAATATCCAAGGGGTGGGACTTAAGTAAAAATGTACATTCTATAAACATAATGAGAGTTTACCTCCTTAGTTCCAAACCACCAATCTCTCATGTGATCTCCAATAGCCTTTGCTGCTGACATAGCACTTGAGAGTTTACGAGCCTTGAGGACTGTGCCTCCACGTGATTGGACAGTCTATAAGAGAGACAAAATGTTAAATTAGTTACTGTTTACCTACTGGAGAGTAGGCTAGTTTCAGCCTGGGCAGTAGAACCATATCTCTAATTCGGATTCATCACTAGCCATGAAGCGCAAGCTCAGTGCTCTAGTGGTTAAGACACCAGGCTAGTTATCTGGAGGTCGTGGATTCGATTCCCACCTGAATCACTTGCAAGATCTTTTTTCGCAAACATTTAAGAAGGTACTGAGCATTCAGTACGATAACACGCCAGGTAGGGCAAACAAAATTTCACAAATCCCTATTCTAATGAAACATTTTTTGGTGAATCTCTGTGGTCTAGCAGTACAACTCTGGCTTTGACTGCGAGTTTTCAATGTCACATAAAAATCCATGTTCTGGATTTCAATGACACTTCCTCACCCCTAGCAACCCCTTCCCTCACAAACTTAATTTTACTGACCTTGATAAATTCACCAGTCAGCCATGCATCATCTTTGACAGCATCATATACTGAAGACACTGATCCATCAGCAGAAGCCACAGAGGCATGTGCAGCATCTGGAAACTGAGTTGAGGAATGGTTTCCCCATATAATCAGGTTACTAACAGCTTCACATGGTCTTCCAAGACGATAAGCAACCTAAATTACACAAAGAAGTTATTTCTCCTTTAGTATTAAAATTAATGAAAAAAACTTATTCTAAATTCATATATTAAAATATACAAATTCAAATCGTTCCCTGGAATTTCTTGGTTGTCCTAAAGAATGCCATGCTTTTTCCTATCTGGGAGGGTACCACCATTCATTTATCACCTTTTAAAAATTATTAAAAAGGGACAGAGGAAGCAGAAAAAAAAAATAATGGGTATGCAGCACAATCTGGAGGATACCATAGCCTTCTAACTTCACTAAGTATCTCACAGGTATCAAAAGAGGTCAACGTCTCAGTGGGACAAAGTAAGCAAACACAAAGTTGGGAGCCTGAAGAGCACCATGCCAATCACTACATATGAAAGATTGGCAAGTGGAATAATCATCAATTATATCTAAATAAAAGGATGTGGCCATTGACTGTGCCTTATTTTGATTTTCCTTACTTGTGCCTGGGCTCGATTGAGATCAAGTCTGGTGAGGCAGGTGAAGTTTGCAGAAGGGATGGATGGAGCCGATCGCAGTGCCAACACACAATTGGTATTTGCTGGATTACCGACTACAAGCACCTGATACAAACCAGACAGTACATAATGCAGTGTTAGTGAAGAACAATAAAAATAATAAACTTGCTAACACTTTTTTGAATGTATAAAGTTTATCAGAGACCATTTTCATCATTAATAAAAAATATGTTCTTTTTTAGGGGCACGGATGGGAAAGGGGTTGACCAATGACAGTAAAGATATATGCACTTTTCTTTTTTTTTTTAAAATAAAATGATCTGAACACTATAAAAATCATTATTTTATAGTCTAATCTTTAAGGGGAGGGAGAGGGTTGCCAAAAAAGTCTGTTTTGTACTCTTGCAAATATGATGAAAATTAAAATACCCCTTATGTTTGTTATCTCTAATAGTAGTCTATCCTATATTCCCTGAGCTTACTAGCATACATCACCATTGGTATTCTGTCTAAAGGCAGGTTCTCAACACAAACTATTTCTTTCTTTTTTGCATATGACTGTTAAATTCCTGTATCGTTTCTTTTTCTTTTTTGTCTCCCAAATGGTCATTTCCATGCATTCTATTTTTCAACTACATCCTTCATCAAAACCTTTGTTCTCAAACCAATCAATTAAATCTTTCTACGACTTTTACATACACTCCTTGAAACAGAAATCTGAATACCTTTACGGTTTTCTTTGCAAATTCATTCAGGGACTTTCCTTGGGTCTCAAAGATCCTAGCATTGGCTTTCAGTAGATCTTTCCTCTCCATTCCATCTTTACGAGGCATAGCGCCAACCATGATGACAGCATCACAGCCCTTGAATGCTTCATCTGGATCAGCAGTTGCAATGGTCTCTAATCATTATGAATTCAAAAAATAATTGAACAATTGACTGAAACGACTGTGACAAGAGAAAGACAAAGGAGAATCCTGAGGGCTCGATGATTAAGTGAAGGACACTAGCTGGCAAAATAAGGTGAATTTTAACTATTTTAGTGCATTTTTGGATTTTAAAAAATAAGTAAATGTAGGTAATGTGAAGCTGTTTTATTTCCTTATATATAACAATAAGCCATAGTTTTGCATTTGAAAGAAATGTAAAATATCAAGGCATACATTCTTTATGGTATATTAGATGAATTTGCAACCATTCTTTAAAATATGCACCACAATTCATTTTTGATGCCAAGATCACAATTTGGCATCACCAATAAGTCACTGTGCGTGCATGTGTCGTGAAATTTTGACCCCCCTGGTGGTCGGGGGAAAAAAAAGGTGAAGTGGGGGCTTCAATTACTAGGTGTGTGATGCTAGCTCGCAAAGATAATTTGAGGTGAATTTTAACTAGTCGACGGGGAGGGAGCAAGTATTTTATGGGGGACATGTGCACTTGTGCGCTCCTAGATACGCCATTGTGTGCATGTGAAACTACCTGATGTCTAATCAGCTTACTTTCAACAAGTGGAAGCGCACAATCCTGCAACTCCATTACAACTCCAGACAGCACGGTCATCATTGGTGGGATATCTAGAAGAACCAATTCCACCTTCTAAATAGGAAAAAGAAAGCTTACTGTAACTGTTAAACCTGTGAGTCAACACAGAAAGAAAATAGGGATAATAAATATTTCATATTTCATTGATGATGCTTCAATTTTGCTTTCAAGGACTATATTGTCAATAAAATATTTTCAAACAATTTACAAACTGCAAATTGGTGTTTTTATAATTCTAATTGTTTTACAATCAAAGTTGTATGTAAGTAATTGAATTATACAATAAATAAGAGAATGTAACAGATCAAACCACAGAGTTCCAAATTACAAACTACCTATTTTACAACAAGGCTCTTTAGTGATGTAATGCTAAATTAGAAATTTCAAGGACCTAGTATATTTTTGGTCTGACTACCTAATTTAATTTTCATTACTTGAAATTAACACTGAACTAATACAATTTAACAACAAAATTAATAATGATGGCCTAATAGTAGTATCTAGTAATTAGTTGTAAATCTTATAGCCAGCCTGTGATTTAAAATTGATTTAACATCAAAATTGTGCTGTTTTGGTGACATTAATGTGCAAGTATTTTAATGAAGACCTTTATTACTCGTAAGCATTTATATACTTATGTACACATGCTGGAATTCAGCTTATTCTGCCATTAAATCAAATATGTTTAATAAAGTTTTTAAAAAAGTTTCCAAAAAAAACCCAATTTTGTTTTACCACTACTTGGTGCCAAAGTGAACATGAATTGGAGGTTTGACTGTAGTAGTATGTAGGCTACTTATCCATTATGTAATGATACTGCCAAATCACTGTTCCTACCTGATCACTGCCAAAGACATCTCCCTTCGCAATAGAATATAAGAGGGAATAGGCAATCTGCCCTGCAGCACCAGTTACAACAACACGAAGAGCCTGAAATACAATCAAACTATTAATGGTACAGCCTTTACAGAAATCACTAAAAATATAAATAACAAAATATGATCTAACCCAGTGGTTCACATGGGGGCCACAAAAAATAACTGGGGGTCTGCCAAGTTAAAGGGGTCCCCAAAAAATGTGGGGTCTGCTTGATTATTAAAACAACTTTCATGATTCCACTATTTTTTTCAGTCTTAAACGACAGTGTGATCATGCCCTGACGATAATTGAATACCTTTGACAAGCATGACTTCGTTCACTGTTTTAACTGGTCCCCACATAACCACAATTGCTTTGCAAAATATTTTCCTATATCATGGTGTTTAATTACTAAAAATCGCGAAAAACAATTTTTAATATATTTTTCCTGTAAAATTCAGGTTGGGGAAGAGCAGTAGTGTATCAAGAAGTCTGGAAATGGGGGTGGGGCTGATTGGAGGGGGGCATGAAGGTCAAGACTTAATGATTAGGTGAGGAGGGTTAGTTTGTAAAAAAAAAAGGTGATTTTCAAATACTTAAGTGCCCCACAACAATCAGTGTGGAAGAGCTTTTACCGACGATTGTATGTATCATTGACATTTGTGCAATTTTTAGCTTTTTCATCACAGAAATTTTTTCCTGATAAATACTATCATGTGTCACCATCAGTAGGAAGGAGGTAATTGTTGGATTGAATGGGAACACATTAATTATACTGTCATTGTAATTCACAACCCATCAACAGCGCAAGCTGGGTACTAAGCATGGATGGCTGAGAGTGGTCAGCATGTGGTTCGAAAGATATCAAAAGATATGAATGGAGCAGTTTTACATCTCTCTGGTTCAAACGTCTAGGCCTAGGGGGAGTTTATTCCAGAAACCTGTATGAGGAGAGAATAATAATAAAAAAAGACTTAAAAACCTAAGTGAAAATGCAATCTATTTTAGTTACAGTAACAAAACTTGGAAACATACATGGTGACTGATACATAAAAATGTATTCATATGCAAATCATAGTCTCCTTAATACAAAAAAGTAGAAAGGGCCTAACCTAGGCGGAAATTCATCTAGGCTATAGGTAGTCTGGCCCCTAGGCCCCTCTCTGTGTAAAAAACAAAACAAGAAGGCTCTAAATTTTCAGGGTGCAGGTCAACTCGGCCACAAGACAACTCGGCCACAAGTCAACTCGGCCACAAGTCAAATCGGCCACAAGTCAACTCGGCCACAAGTCAACTCGGCCACAAAAAGTTTGGCTACAGCCAACTCGGCCACAAGCCAACTCGGCCACAAGTCAACTCGGCCACATGTCAACTCGGCCACAAGTTATTTAATGTAAAAGTTTTTGCATCCTTTTTCTTCAATATCATGATTAAAATAAAGTACAGTATATTTTAGTAAAACAGGACCACCACACTATCAAAAGAGATTTGAATGCTATTGCCTATGAATTAAAAAGAGTTATTTATTAATGTGTTCATCTTCTGTTTACTCACAACATTCTACTTCAACAATAATATTAAACAACAATAACGACAATAAATTAATAATATTTACTTTAATAATACTAATTAGTCATTATGACGATAATAAAGGTGATAACAACAACATTAATAGTAATATTTATTTTAACAATACTAACAGTAATAATACTAGTATGGTAATAACATGGAGGTATAATTTTATACCTCCATGGTAATAATAACGATATTATTTAAATATTAATTTTAATAACAAATTAGTGATAATAACGATATTGAAGGTGATAATAGCAATAATGCAACAATAATAAATTAAAGATAATTAGTATTTTATACTTGATGAATTACTCCTTCCAATTGTAGTACCAGTAAATGACTTGTGGCCGAGTTGACCTGTGGCCGAGTTGATTTGTGGCCGAGTTGACTTGTGGCCGAGTTGACTGTAGCCAAACTTTTTGTGGCCGAGTTTACTTGTGGCCGAATTGACTTGTGGCCGAGTTAACTTGTGGCCAAGTTGGATCGATTTCAATTTTCAGCCCCAAGCACCGATGATGACAAGTTTTTTTGGAAGAGGTGAAAGCAAACTCTCATTTCTCTTTGAAAAACCTCCGAGCATACACTAACGCAACGATTTGTTTTTGCAACAACTGTTTTACTTTTAGATTTAAGGTTTAACATAAATGTAATATCTTACCATTTTGGAAACAAAATATGATGTTAATTACAAATATTCACAAGACACCCTTTCTAAATAGACCGGATCAGCTCACAATCTGCAAACGAGAGACCGGTTTGTTCCATACCAGACGCCATCACCGGTGGTAGCCACGTGAGAAAATTCAGGTCATCACATCATCGATTCCGAGGTCAGTCGGTCGCGGTGTACATGTGTGCAGTGCATGCCGTACCACTTCTCTACAGAACTTCAAGGCTAGGCCTAAAACGGTACAGTACATAGGGCCTATAGTACTACATTTTTGTCTTGTAACTGGTTTAAACGTGAAGTTGGTTCGGTTGTGTCTAGCCTAATGTAGGCCAGCCCGCCCTATAATCGAATATGGTAGATAATGAAAATGATGTAAGTCGCATTCTTATTTACATATTTTACAGCCTACACTTAGGCCCGGCCTAGGGTTGACTAAGCCTTCAGCAGTATAGTCTAGCTATGCAGGCCTACCTACTACTAGGCCTACTGCTAGTAATAGTAGTGTAACCTAGGCCGTGGCGACAGATATAGCAGCAGCCGGCTAGGCCTAGTTGCTAGGTTAGTGGGTTAGGCAATGAGCATTTTGACTTAAATTGTGCAAAAAAAAAAAAAAAAAAAAAAACTATTGTTAGGCCTAGGCTAGTCTACAGTGTTGATGTATTAATTTATAGTTAGTACTACTAACTAAAGCAGTCACTCTATAGAACGCATACCACCGCTCTGCCTGTCCCTGCTGGGTACCGAAAAATATGTAGGCTGTTTATTGGCGATTCCATTATTTTCTTCTATGGTTCGGGTGCATGCTATAGATGTCAAAGTTTATATTGCATTAACAATTTAATTTTCTGAAAAAAAAAAAATCAAAATAGGCTTGAAGAAATGAGTTTTAAAATAAGATTACAATAATGGAACCTCATTATTCAGAAATTAATATGCCTAGGTAATTAAATTTCCAGATTTCTGAAACTGCACTTCTGTTAGTATTAAATTATTGTAAATAAAATTATCATAAATGTACGTACTGCTTTATTTTCACAGCAAGGCTGGTTTTCCCGCCTTTCTAACACTTTTCACAAAGTGCCTTGTATGAGAACATCCCTTCTGTATGGGGTTGGTGGTGGTGTTGGCACAGGTTTAGCTTACTTCTTATACTCAAGTAAGTGGCATATTTGTTGACAATTATTCTTTGCCAGTAGTTACCAGTGGTGTAATCATGTGGGCAGGGGACCTGTGGCTTTCTGTGAATGGGGCCCTTTTGGGGTCCAGGTCCCCAATTCCATTGTGGGATTTTAGATGTGCTCATTTTTTTTTAATCATGTTTGTCATTGCATTAATATCTAAATGTTTTCAACGACGAAATAAATGATATGATATCTGAGGTGGATCCAGGAATTTGAAATAGAGGGAGGGGATAGGGAAGGACTTTTACTAACGGAGGGTCAATACCACCTCAGCCTCCACTATGGTTAGGGCTTAGGTAAGAAAATTTATGATTACAGCACCTCTAGATGGCCGGAAATGGCACTCACAGACTTAATATATATGAATGATATACAGTCGATGCTGGAGACACAGTCCCATTATTATTATTATTATTATTATATGCTGTTATGTATCAACAAAACTTATTTTTTTCAGGGTACTAGATTGAGGACCATGTGATTATGGCTTCGCGGCCCCTAGGGGTCTGGGGCCCAGTGGGCCCACACGAGAGCGCATAGGCGTTACGCTATTGGAAGTTACCTATGTATACACTGAATAGTAAACAGACTGAGACACATATTGAGAGAATGACGGATTTCAAATTTTTCTAGTTCATCAAAACTGATCTTTTTTTTTCAGGTCGTGTAAAAAGAGCATCTGATCTAGGAGTATTGTCCTTTTGTGTCATTACATTTGGAACTTTGTAAGTATATTTCTGGTTCATTGTTCTGGTTTATATTATGAGTGGTGTTCCACTGTTGAATTGTCTTTTTAGTGCTTTGATCCCTGCTTCTAGTGGATATGCCATTTATTTATAGTTTATCATTAATAATAATTATTACTCTTCAACTGATGTTAATATCTTCATCATTGATATCATATTTCCACCATCACCATTATCATAATCATAATTATCAGAATTTGGCATTAATTTAATACTACTAGAGTAAAACATTTGTTATAGAATGGTGTTGCTACTATTAATTTTATTCAAAGCTTCTTTTTTTTTAGGGGCGGGGTGCATTTATTTGAAGAAACGATAAGTAAGTTTTACAAAATATTGATAATTAGAACATTTAATAACATCAATTTTTATTTTTCCATTTAATATTAAAAGTGGTGTGTGTAGATACTCAAGAGCAAAGAAAAAATTAGCATCACAAAGACTGCAGCGAGTACATGGAGTCGAGCCGCTTGATGAAATTTGATGAAACCAGGAGCAGTGTAAAATTTACTGGAAGCAACTGGTAGACAGTGTCATATCTAGGAGTCTTGAAATGAGGGCCTGATGTGGGTGAGCATGAATTTTTGGGCAATGTGGGAGGGGGAGCATGGCCTCCCCATGCACCCCTTAAATATGCCACTGTTGGTAGATGGACTGATATCCACAATTACAGAAGTTATGAATGCTTCTATCAAAACGAGTCTCAAGATGAATGTAATGATTACTCCTGCTTAAATTTCTGATGGAGAGAGTGAATGCAATGTACGTGTTTATGAAATACCGACAATAGTTTACATTCTAATTATTTATTGTTGTACTGTATAAATAAATTTCACAGAGATTATTGTCATCATTTATAATACACCAATCATTGAATAGCTTAGTGGTTAAGATGATTGCCTTCTGATCCCAGGGTCCAGGGAATTCCTGTGACAACTAAAATCAACTACACTCCCTAAGCCTCATAAAGAGACTTCACTGATAAAAGTATCATTTTATTTCATTTATTTACAAATATCAGCCGACCATCTGCTGTAGGATACACTGGAAGGGTCACCCTCTATAAATATGGTTTTAGAAAAAAAAAGCATATCAAATAAAAAAAGTAATAATAGCTACTCCAAGCATAGAACATGCCCAATCAAGTTGGAATTTCTCATTACTTGCATAATACAATTTTAGCAGAAGTTCTACCTGGATTTTAATTTAAAAATGATATTAAAAAATGTAAATGTCACAATAGTGCCAACATTTAATGATGTAATATAATCAGTTGTGTTCAGTAAAGTTCTAACTAATGTAATACACATATTATATTTATGTTTTACAAACATATTAACCTTTTTCTTATATATCCCAATAATATAGGCTGTATATATAATCTTCCATTCTTGTACAGACCACATGTCGCGTAACCCCTACTCGTCTCGAAAGATGTACTGGGCTCTTTATAATGCACATGAGCCAATTATGTACACTGGGCCTACGATTTATAGTCCTTATCCGAGAAGACTTGCTCTACCTCCAGAGCCATTGGCAAGCGTGCCGTTCGAAGCAGCTCAGATATTACGGCTGTAGGTTTCGGGCCCCTGCCTCAACCGCTATGCTAATCGACTCGGAATGGAGTTGAATAGCTTAGTGGTTAAGGTGCTTGCCTTCCAATCCCAGGGTCCTGGGTTCAATTCCTCTCAGTGTTGCAGGATTTTTTCTCATTACCAAAACAACTCATTCCCTAAACCTCATACAGATATTTAGTTTAGCATCGTGTGTGTTTGTCTCGTAAAGGGATTGTCACCTACAAGTAGTACAACAATGACCAATATAGATTTGGTGCCAAAATTGACAAGGATATATATGAAGTCGCATATCAAATATTATGTCTCATGTATATTCTAGAGGTGATGCTAGTTGGGGGGTGCCCCCAGGTAGAAAAAATTTGTCATGGAAAAAAATGTATTTTTTACGTATTAAATTGAATAAACCTTTGAAATCCTAAATTGTAATAGTTCGAAGCTTCTTCCATCAGACCACTTCCGAGAGATCTTGAGCAACGCTTGAACACGCACACTTACGGAGTCAACTTACTATTGTCAAAGTTATTAGTAGAAGTATTAAGGCTTATCTGTACAATACTGTCACATTCTCATGCTATAATTATTCAGTTTAACATTTAGCGGCAGTAGCCCCCCCACCCCCTTTACGCTGGTTTTGGGATGGCAAGCCTCAAATATTATAAACCATTGCGCTCTCAAAGGACATTTACAGTATACCTATTGGCAAAGTTGAGGTTGATGTCCTGGTTCTAATCTCGCCTAGTGTCACCATCAACTATTTACATACCCTTGGTTGAGTTACCATGCTTCTTGTCTTCTATACTCTTATACACATCT